AAAACATTTTCGAGAAGTATAGAATATAGTAAGAAAGATATTTGAAGCACCGAAGTCAGTAAAGGTCATCTTTGTTTTCATATTGATATTTTCAGTTTTGAAATACGGAGTTCTGTCATTTTCTATCTGTTTTAAGCTGTTTCTATTTCAACTTGTTACGGTCACGATCTATTCAAGTTCTCCAGTTCTCCATAAGTACAACGTTTTTTTGTTCAGATTTGTTTCGAGGGTGATCCAGAAGCAGCACTTATTACCTACGCAAATCGATATGAAGCAGTTGCAGCATATAAGAGTACAGTGCCAATACTAAACAATCGTTTCATTAAAGTATTTTGGCACAGTACCAATGGACAAGCAAATAATACTATAAATACAAATCAGGTCATATTTTTACATTTAGAGAAATTAGAGATGATAACTGCAGAGCAAAAATTCATAATTTATAATGGAGCAGATGGCAACTGAACTAAAAAAGTGACGAAGCATTTTAAAGAAGTTTAAATCTGTCAATTTGATTCTGGAGTGGATTTGGTTTAAATTAATACTAGATGAATATTTGTAGACAGCACCGACGAATAGTTCATCTGTAACATTTAATGCGAGAGGTTCACTAACAAAGACAGTCCATGTTGGTTCACGGTTGGCTGGTTCTGCTGTTAAGAATTCACAAACACTGCATTTAGCGAATTCGCAAAATATGGAACCTCAGGCTTCGCGTTCTGCAATTAGTCAGTCTCTGATGGACAGAGAGAAATACATCGAAGTATCCTTTTCAAAATTTTGCCTGAAATATACGACGGAATACATTTTTCATTAGTCTAAGACTTTACAAGTTACCTCTTATAAATTCTAACTGAAACTCCTTACTTACTGGAAGGGCAACTAACAGCGGAATCGAAGTGTGATCATCTCCGAAAGTCTGTTATGCATATCATAGATTTTGGGCTAAGTCTAGGAATTTCACTAGTTGTTGAGGAGATTGGTAACTCTAATTATGAAATTATCCTTGTTTTGCAGGTCAGACGTCGACGAAAGCAAGAAAAAGAAAACAGGATGAGATTAATAGATCTTCAGCGGAGAAAATCTGATCTCATGTCCAAAGAAATTGAGCAGCAGAAAATCATACTAGAAAAAATGAAGGCTGGAAACATTGCTTCTGAAAAAAAAAAGAAGTTACATAAGGTATTGTAATTAGGTTGTAGCTAGTCATGGTAATAACTTTTCTAGAAGATTTCCATTTACGCCAAGCTAAAATTTAACTAAAAGAGTAGCTTATGTGTGAGGGAGCAATCATGATATTGGCTACAGAAATTTGAACTATCTTTATCTCATCAGTCGTATTTGCTGGTGAAACATATATAAGTTCGGAACATTTTTTTATTTTGAAGCAACAAGTGGGAAGTTATTAGGATAAAGTAGTTATAACCAAATAATTAGAACTCATACAACTCTCTTGGAACGTTGGTAACATACAAGTTAGCTACGGTTCAATTATCACCAACTCTGTAGTTTTCAAAGTTTGTACATTTTTCAGATTTTCAAAGGACTAGAATCTTCTGTGGCTAAAACGAAAGGTGAAATTGCTGAGCTTAATGAGATGTTGATGAAAACACAAATTGGTTTCGAAGCAACAAAGAGAGCAGACAAAGCAAACGGCTGCAGTGGTGCTGCGGAGTCTATTATTGGTGTAGATCTTGTCAGTTCCGAGGGTTTGTACTTTACAATATAAAAATGATTACGTTATTGAGCTATATCATTTCAAATAAAGCAGTTTTTTTTTTAATTGGTTCTAATTAGTACTTAATGATGTTTGATGTGTAACTGCAATTATATATTCAGCAGGTGACTTATCAGTCAGTGATATGGTTCCTTCTCCGAAAAAAATTCGTCTACAAGATTCTTCGCAGGTTTGCATACAGTTATTTGGTGAAGAACTGATTTTTTAAACTTGTTCAAAAAAGTAAATTTTCAGTGTGGTGCACGGTACTGCAAGCATTAGAAAAAGCTGTTTTTCATGGTTTTTCTTCGTTCAATAAAGAAATAGCACGGTCTGCTGAAAAATTAGTTTTACAAAAAATTTAAGATGTGTCACATCAAATTAATTAATGGGTGTAAATGACGAGAAGCAATTTTTCCTCACTCGCATGTGCTTTTCAAAGTATTAAACTTTTTCCCCCTTTGTTTTATCAGTCTTTTTCAGACCCTTGATAACCGCTCAAAAACGGTCATGGTACGCGGTTTTGAAGCAGGAACAGAAAATGAAGTTATCATTCATATGGAGCATTTTGGGGAATTGGTTGATATGGATTTTGGAGTTCCTGCGCAGGATAAATTGCTTACTGCTTATTTTACCTACAAGAAAAGACGTGATGCTGAACAGGTTTTGATGAGAATCTTTTTTCTTAGAAGGAAGAATTACCATTGCATTTCTTCAAAAAAACGTTAATATTACTTTCCTTTTAAGGCAGTATCGTTAGGAGCAGACTATCCTGTTGGACATTTAACAGTGGAATGGGCTCCAAAGCGTGGGGCTGAAGCGAGTGGTGTTGTCCCTGATGAGAAACGGCAGCCGTCTGAGCGTGTAACCCCCGCTGCGTTGTTGGCGAGTTGTCCGCTGGATGAGGTTTGTTATGTTTAATTACATTTTCTGCCGTTATGCACATCAAAATCACAATTATTTAGCAGAATCCAACTATTTCTGAATGAGGGATACACTTAAGATAAGCACTGTTTATGTATATAAAGACTTGATTTTCATGACTGTGAGCTTAATCCTATACAGCATTTCAACCTGTTGAAGTTTGGAATTTCTTGTCTACTTTTGCTTCCGTACCCAGTGTCATTTTTGGTTCTAGAATGCTTTAATATTTTAGAGGAAATTCAGTTTTATTTAATTTCACAAAGAATTTTCAGTCGGATGATGATGGCAATGAAGATTAGCTGAAAGAATGGCTGGTCAGTGAATCTTCTATGTTTCACTTTCAGAAATAATTTTTCTTATCAGTGGAAAGTGCTTGAAAGAGGCCACATTTTTTTTTAAATTGCTACTAGATCAAATCTTCATCCCATGTTTCTACGCTAAAAAAATTTCCATTCTTTTTTCACGACATTTAGTGATTCGCCTACGGCAACAGTCAATATTTATAAGCTTACACAGGTAGCATTTTCCTTATAATTGTATTTCCCAGTTCATAAAAGGAGTTCCTCCTAAAATCTGTGTTATCATGGTTATTTTATTCTCTTCATATTTCTGTTGTGATTATTTGATATAATATTGCTGTTTGGCGAAAAGAGAAAAAATTCTAATATCGGCTTAGAAAAGAAAATAAATTTTATTTCAAATGAAAAAAATTGAAACACAGCAAAAAGAATGAAAATGAAATCAGGCTGTGAAAAAGAAAACAAAAACAAAAAGCTACAATATCGGTGTCCTTTTATTAAAAAATTTCTGGAAATTGTTGTTTTCGAAAAAATGTCAACTGCGGGTATGTTCTTTTTTTTTGCTTGGTGATTTGTTTGAACTTCAGGACCAGTTCACCTAATTTTATTCCGTTTCTCTACTTTGCGTATCCGTGTTATCATTCCGTTTACGCGCGGTGGCTCCCGCATTATTTCCTAGGATTTACAATATCAATGCAACAGACTTTTTTACCTTGTCAGGTATTCAGTGATATAGTATAGTAACCGGGACAGACCTGTGCATAATATCAAAAAGATTTTTTGAAAAAAATGCAGGACGGGCTGTAAGTTTAGTCATTCAAAAACATACCAATTATTAAACATTGATTTCATTGATTAGCAGAACTTCAGGATGGTTTATTAGGTTTATAATTTTGCACCGCAACATTAACATGATGCACATTTGTTAAACTTATCACCTTAGTAGATCAATAGTAATTGCTATATAACAAGCTAAATTTTAATACTCCTTGAGTTCGAACTGGTGTTGGAATTAAAAGGATTCTTCTATTCTTTTGAAATACTTGCACTTGCTCAATTATATGTTGCAGAGATATTGTTTATTTCTTTAGTATCACTTCAAATATTATAGGCACAAGGACGATGAAACTCTCATTTATAATGTCCGGGTCATTGAAATATGGGTAGAGGTTGTTTATTTGAAGCACTTTTCTCTTGGTTTACTAAATAAATAGAATGTTGATACTTTTTTTTGTCGTTTTTTCAAATTTAATTTGGAACTAACAGAGCAGAACGCATATGCTAATGCTACGCAGGTGTATAAAATGTAAATTTAGTATGTTTCGTTAATTGTCGCATCATATAATTCTAGCACTTTTGTTACAAAATGAAAATGCTGAAATAACTTTTATGGAAGCAAATAATGCGAAATTATCTTTTTTACCCGTAGGAAATTATTTCAAAGGGTCAGTACATAGCAAGAGAAGTACTAAATAAAACAGATGCATTTTGATAACATATTTCGCGTTTAATATAATTTGTACTGCTAAAAGAATGAATAGTTCTGTGATAGGAATTTGTTTGAATCAGAAAAAATGACGGAAGTGAAACGAGATGGTCATTTCATCATTATGTTTGATTTTTAAACGAAAATCATCGCGAAACCAGTCGAGATGTTTCAGAATGAGTGGAAAGCGGCAGAAACAAAAAATGGAAGAGACAGGGGTAAGTTATATCGCTGAATGGATTTCGTAAAAGATTATGCGCTTTCTTCAACTTGCAATTAATAATTAAAACTAGCTGAGCGATGCAAATAGCATTCTTGGACTGCATTCTAAGAGCCCCAACGAATACATGATTCCAAGCACATCCAGTCATTGTACAGTGTGGTAATTCTCTTAATGATAGCACTAATAGCTTTAATACCTCTAATATTCCCTAATTAAAGCGGTGAGAAGCACGTGATGAATGATAAATGAAATGCAGAAGCGCGGAATATAGACAATAAAGCAGTTAAAAAAATTAAAATGAAGAAGTCCCAAATAACTGGAAAGATAATAAGTACTGAATGGAAATGGCACTTAGGTGACCGTTTCTCGGACTCCATCCATATCAGGCAAGGAATCGAAGCTGAAATCACGATCGATATGCCGCCAATACACCTGTTTAGGTGTTGGTGCGGCTGTTCCTCCTCCTATGCTCCATTGATTTTTTTCATTGCCAATAGAAGTAACCGGAGTAAAGCTATATCCTAAACAACAAATACAGTTTATTTCATAGAATTTGAAGTCAAGGGATTGTAAATATCCAGGAAAGAGAAGGCGAAAAGCCTAGATCATCTTTTTGTAAAATTAAATCTTATTCTCAAATCTAAAAGCATATCTCATCATTAGTCTTACCATTTGAATTTGCATGTGAATATCTGGAAAGATTATGTTCTGAAGAGCTGCTATCAATCATCGTATTTCTTGTCAATTTGGCTTTTGATCTACCACGCCAACTTGTTGTACGTCTTTCCAATGAATCAAGATTGATCTGAAATACTTCCAGTTTAAGGGTCATTCAGCATTGTTCGACTATAATTTTTTTTTTTGTATAACATTAAGTAAAACGATGATCCAAATATTATCGTGAAATTCTGTAGAAATGCCAATTATTATCAGTAAAAAGAGAGTGATAAGAAAAGCTAATAAGTTTCATCTGTTAATTAGCCCTATAAATAATTAAACTTACAGCTACAGCACGTTGTGGAGATATGAATACGTTAATTTCTGATCCATGATATGATATGCTACGTTGTGTACTTCCATTACTTACATTTGACACATTATCAGCAACATCCATAGTTGATTTCTGTGAATACCTGAATTGGCCTTTTACAAATGTTTTCCTCACCTGAGTAGTATATCAAATGGTAAACAAAAAAAAAAAAGAGTACGAATTTTTCAAAATATTTCAACAATTTCTAATATAATTTAAAGACAAAAAAAGTGATGAATATGAGTAAGTTTATATCACTTTATCACATGCTTGCAAGCAATTGTGTCTTCCTCTTATCAAATGAATGCAACAAACCTGCTATTTATACTGGCACTATCAATTTGTGCTTTCGATAGCCATATCCATTCCTGTGAATTTTCATCCTTTCCACATGAACTAGATGAGCTTAGTCGTGTAAGGATTGGCAGTACTAATTTCTCATAACCTTCATTGAATGATTGTCTGGCCTTTGAACCTATCGCATGTACAATACCTATTATTGCGCCCAAAAGAATAACTAATCCGAGCAAAACCTCCGAATTCCAACTATTAAAATTTGTAGGTGATTCCAGTTTCGTGCTGCTATTATCTATAAATATTCTTGAATCAGGCATCGTTACGATATATCCAATAAGAATTTATACTAATACTTGATAAGTGCAGTGTAAGTGATCAATATATTGCAATATTTTCAACATCTGATCCATTCGAAAAATATAATTTTGGATTTCAAAATCAGCATTGCTTAAGGAAGACAATAATTCTTATTTTACCGCTCTTGGAGATTAAATATTTATTTATCAAGGTACTTCAGTCTTCAATATAACTTGCAAAGTCTTTGCAAATGAGATAAAAATCAAATTTCAAATTATGTATCAAATCATTTTGCTTTGATTTCATTTCTGAATTCCTTCTCTTTTAGAACCCTTGAATTTCAAAATGTAATTTCATTATAAGGATTGGTAGATAAAAACAAGAGAATAACACTTTATTTTTAAGCAGTAGAAGTAAGAGTAAATGGAATTTCTTATTATCTCTCAAGAATTCCTCACTTTTTCCTTAAATTGCCATAATTGAGAAAAATATTTCAAACATTAAAATGGACAATTTAGGATCAAAAAAATGCTGATAAAATACTACGCTATCTTTAGAAAGTTAAATCTTTTTTTGTTAGAAAAGTTTTATTATCATTAAACTTTCTATGGAAATAATGAAACAATTGTGGGAACAAAAAAAATGAAGAAAATAATTAAGTAATTAAACTAATGATTGAATTTCAAAAGAAGTCTATTTATAGATCAAACTAACAATTAATAACTGATGATGTGCTTGTAAGTTTCCTTTCATTGAATTCAATTTGTACAGGGTAATCGATCTGACCGATAACTTTCGAACCTGGCTCACTACATTGAACTGGACTATGTAAGCTAACTGAGATTAGCACATTCTTGACATTCTGTAGAACAATTAGTTCAATATTATGACCATCTGGCCCATGATTCAATGCTATAGCTTGCTCATCTGAACTCCATCCTCTCAGTATGTATTGCTCTGATGGAATATCGGTTAATTCAAGCATTTGTTCATCCGAGAAATATAATCGACAAACCAGAGTGGCATGCTGTAAATATTTAATTTAAATATGTCATTCATCATCAAACTCTTTTATTCGCCGCTTTATACCAACATTGATCGAATCTTTCATTTTTTATGGTACGTAACGTTTCTTTCCATATCAACGATCATCACACATGATATGGTTCAACTTCACAACATTTTACGTTTGTATAATTCATTAATTCTGATTCATAGCAACATTTGACAATGCATAAGAAAAAACGCGAAGTACCTTTTAATTTCAACATCTACTCAATCAAGTAATAAATAGAGTTGTAGAAAAATGAAAGATTCGGAAAGTTTACCTGATATTTATGAGTTAAAGTATTTTGAATAAATGTTGAAACAACATATTCATGTGCCCTTCTAGGAATTTGTTCAATATCCAAAGCAATATCAACAACTCCTTCTACCGCAAGTCGTCTTACCGATACAACATCTTCTGTCACCTTTACATTCACATTAAACAAATTAATTTTTTAACAAAAATTAAAATAAGAAAGAAAAAGTATTATCAAAAAATAACAATATTGATACAGTACCACGAGTGGAGCACTACCGTAATCGATACTGGGAGTATTTGAGCGTACTGTTATCCTATAATACTTTTACTTTTAAACTGATATTTTAAAATAAGTAGAGCAATATGATATTAGAGATATCATGGATGATTTCACTCCTTATAGACCTGGCTGAACCGGGACGATGAGCCACAACAAAAATGCGATCTTGTCGAGGTAATACAACAGCAACACCAATGTTTGAACTATGCACATGATTCATTGTCAATGATGTTACATCAAATAAAATATCCCGATTTCCGGATAGATAGATCCGTTCTCCAGTCTCTTTATCTCCCACATAATAACTTGCAAGAATGCGGATCTGCAAAAGAATTTAACATTGGCACACTTTGATCTCGGAGCGCATAAATGCTCGAATTATGCAAAACAGCAATCGGATAAGTATTCAAAAATATCATTCACATAAAATCATACGAAATCATAATCATACGAAATGTCTTTAAATTTATGTTCATCGTTAATTTCTCGACAATCTTTTTTAAATAAAATAAAGCGCTTGAGTGAGCCCTATCTCATGCACTGATGCGTTACACGGAAAGCATAGCTAAATAATAAATTAGTAAAATGTAATTATACTTCAGCCTGTTGGTACTTATTGACACAGCCAAATTGTCGGGCTTCCCTTTTACGTTTGCTAGGAAGCCATTTCCATACTGCTATTTGCCAATCTGAAATTTTAAGCGAGGGATTTTTTCTGAGAACGGCAAAAAATAAGTTAAACTCAATGTAGCTGATACAAATGATACTAATGAAAGCATATGGTCAATTAATAAGACGACTTTGCAATTTGCCCATGTCGGGGGTTGCTGCAGATGTAAGTTTATGTTTCTCACTGCAACCGTTCGAGCTAAAGAGAATGTAAATAAGAAAACCTTTGATGGCATTTAGCACTGGATCTGATAACCAAACAGTAATCGGAAGTCGTGGATACCAAACTGTAACTTCTATCGAACTGGTCAATGTTTCAAAATGGATATGCACTTTAACTTTACTCATACCACGTAACTCTGATCTATAATTGATATGAAAAATGTTTATAATTTAGTTCATTACTACTCAAAATCACCAAAAAAAGCTGTTACAGATTTAAAAGTTAGTTGAAAACAAAACGATTTGTGATGGCAGTACATTGCAAATTAAAATTCAATAAAATTTCTAATTCTCAAATTTATAAAACACAAGAGATTTTAAAAGAAGATATATGACAAGAAATAATTTCCTTCATAATAATAAAGATTAAAATTGGTAAGATAGACGGACCCATCAACATAAATGGAACCACAAGTTGGTGAAGCCTTCAAAACTCGTGATTCAGCACTCAAACAATATGAACTGCTAGTTACATCATTTAAATTTCCACCTTCCGTAATGGAAAATATTCTCATTGGTAGTGCAGCTTGTTTTCCTGATAATACCGCCGTATTGACCAAATTTTCTCCCTAAATATCTGTCTGATCACTAAAAGACGAAAGTTGAAATGAAATATTCCATTTTTTTAGAAAATGAGTTAAAAGGAATAGCTTAAAATATGAACACAAACGATTGTTAGCTTATTTACTTTGATCATTGGCAATAAACCATAAACGAAATCCGAAAATATGCGAAATTGTGTTGTTACTCTCTTTGTTGTCGTTTTACTCTGAACAATAAAACTATTATTTTTAAAATCAGAATTTTTGAAAAAATTTATCGCCATATACAAGAATTGACACAGAGTTACTGGAAGTATGTAAGAATTGAAAGTTCGAGTTGATGAATAAAACACTATAGAGCGTCGATCGGCTAATATTAAGGGGCATGAAATTATCAGTTATCTAAACAGGAACTTACGGCTATCTCCATGTAACGATTTTAAAGAGTTCATTTTAAATCAGCCACAACAGAATATTGTATAGTTATGTGACCCCACGTAAACGAAATAACCATGGATTCAAGTTATATTTTTACTTCGTTGGAAAAAATTTATGAAAAATTGTACCATATAAGTAGAATTTTCAGAGATAAAATATTGCACTTCCCAGTGAACTCTAACCAAATCACTGTCAATAGTATTTGATTGTTTTTCGGACTTTGTTCTTATTGAGCCTTTTACTTTGAATAACATCATCATTATATATCCGTTGAATCTATAAAAAAAATAGATCATTACAATAATGCAAAAATATCCGATTATAAGGAATAATAAAATGAAGCAGAATTTTAAATTTTAAGATTCATCTTTTATCCAACAGAAGAAAAAAGCTTTTCCAATGATTACTCTTATGTTTAACACTCTATTTGACAGAATTATTACAAAACATTTGAAATAATAAATGGAAATTAGCATTTTAAGCAATGTCTTCCGTCACCAACTATTGTAAAAGATAACTTATCAATATCACATATATTGTTGAGCGAAGAATTAAAAACAATCGAAAAGATACTAATTAAAATTAACTCACCTCTGCAAATTATCATCTAAGGATGAGGAAGAATGATACTGACATGTAAAGGTCATATGAGTATCAGGATAAGAAGCCCTTTCCACTTGTATTGTCCACAGCTTTGGATCGGCTGAAGTGACGCTAAGAAGTTTCAAATAGCTGTTCAACCAAATTCTGCAATATTTTATCTAACAAAAAATTAAAATTTATGATTTTGAAGCAATAATTTGGTATTTTTCTAGAAAAGATTTCAGTTCAATACTTCTATTTAAAGCTATTCTAATGAAAGACCACAGAATGGCTATGACAAGTGCGTAATATTATCGTACACTGTGAATAATAATTTTTAGTCAAATAAAAATTGAATTCCTAAACAAATAAAAGAAAGTTAGAATTGGGAAATACCTTATCTGCATGGTAGTGAAACGAGTTTCATTGTTACCATCGTAATCGAAATGCAACAGTAAAGTTGTAAGTGAACTTGCCGCAAGTGTAAAATTCGTTGGTGATAATAGCTGCAAATGCCTAAAAATAATTTAAAATTTAAACTAATCCACTAAGCAATTTGAATTTTACGAATTTCATTAATAGTTAAACTGTCTGCCTCACAGAAAAGTAAACAATTTAACAGCATTTTGCTCCATCATTAGAATATATTTGTAATTTCCGAATTAATATTAAACTTCGACAGAGAATTTGGATTTTAAATTCTGATAGAATGATAAAATTTTCACATAAATGAGTGAAGCGAACTCTTCAAGGTTGACAGTTAATATTAAAAACATACAATGTTGGAAATTGTTTGTAGAGATCAAATGATCTATAATTTGAAGAAGGCGATAACAGCGTTATTTTTGTACGATGTAATTCAGCATACAAAGCGCCACATTCTTTATCTGTGGAATGTAAAAGTGTGATGATCTGTAAATTACAAATTTACTGTAACTTTGAAGCTTTTCCTTAAAATTATTTTTAATATATTAAATAACTCGATGAGTAGTAAAGCACAATGATTGTAATTTGTTCAGTGATCTACCATCGTGCTTATGATGCTGCCTATTAAATTAAATTATTTATTAAATTATTTCATTCAATCGAGAACTTATTAAATTGTTGATAGATTTGCCTTATTCAGTCACCATGCAATAATGTTTTTCCGGTTAGTTCGGAATTACGGAAATATATATTTTCTGTGTCTCAGATTTGCTCATTCAATACTACAAGAAATTGTAATTTACAAAGTTAAATTTTGTAACAACTTCCTATTCAATCAACAAGATATCGAATGTTAGTTATGTAATAATTGGAAAGTGAATAAACCTGTTTATAGCCGTTGTTAAGCGGAAACCACGAGTAAGGTACAATAATTCGGAGAAGGCACGACTGGCGGGCAGAATCGAACGGTGATAAAATACATGACACCGGAACCGTTACTGATGTTAACAGTGTCAATTGTGCGGTGATACAAAGAGGCTGACGAATGTGCGATAATATTGAAACATCCGCTACTGCCACCAAATCCACAAATGGCCTCTCCTGAACAAATATTAAAGAATGAACTATTATCAGGAATAAATTTAAAGTAGTAATGCTTACTAGAGAAATCACAGTTGAAGCAATTTTGATAATAACAGCACAATTTGGCCTTCTAATGCCATCTAATGAAAGCACATGACGTCGTCCAGATTCTGTTCCAACGATAGAACTTAAACGAGATGGACAACCATCCTGTAATAGTAAAACTTTCATTGATATAAATTCCTATAAATTGTAAAGATTTAAAACGGAAGCTCAAGAAATTTTCAGTTAATTTTTAATAGGATAAAAGAAGAACCGGTAAAAAAATTGTTGTTCTGTTGTAATTTGTGCCATGTTGTGGTGAAAATAACACAAATGCATTCACATCAGAGACCACTGAGAGGTAGATTCCTATAAAAATTAAATTATTCACTGATCTAAGTTGGAATATTTCATTTTATATTTCTCTTTTAAATTGTTCTCAACACAATAGGCCATAATATTCAATATGAACAGTTTACACGATAATAACAACAGTTGGAAGTAAAAAGAACAGATCGCAAAAAATTTCATAGACAAGTTTTTGACCAAATAGGAAGGATACTGTAGATTTGAACTAGCTACAGTAGAACTAGAAATGAGATGATTTCATAAAAAAAGTACAGTTAATGGCATTATATTTCATGAGATTCTCCTTAAATATCATTTGTCATCTGATTTCATTTTGTTTACTTAATTGCTTTATTTTTGCTTTATCAATTAATTTAATATCATCAGGTGGAGAAAGGGAATACATAAGTTATTATCCTTCTAATCTTCTAGTTATGGAATATTTGGATGACAATATTTATGGCAATTTTCTCTCATTTATTTAATGCTATTATTTCTAACTAACATATATATCTGAATTAGAAATATTAATTTTCTCTCAACTTAACTTCTTTTTTCCTTATTTTCAGCTTGTCTTGTAGCCATTTCATTTCAGCTTTTCGCAATGACAACAATAATGTTTGCGAATCATTTATGATTTCGCCAGTTAGCCATTTCATTTTAACTTTTTAAGCGCCATCTTTAAGAAAATGATAGTAGGAAGGAATTCCGTATGACATGTATCTGATAACGCTCTGATAACAATTAGACAATAACAAATACTTCAATGCTTTTGGGAACTCCTTTATATTCGCTAGATTAGAAGTTAAGATCTATCTTTCTTATTTCAATAACTCTTTATTCCGTACGATTTAATTTTGTTATTCCTAATTGCTTGTTTGGTTAATTTCCATTCAAACTTTCAGATAAATGCTTTGTTAAAAATTTTCTGAAGCAGTAATTTAAAATTCACCTTTATCAGTTTCTTTGTTTAACAAAATTATCTTAACTTTATTATTTTCATGCTTTAGAAAGGCTAATTTTGAGAACTCATTTGACGGATCAACTAGTAAGCATCTATTCACTCCATTTAAGAATGCATACGGTAATGTTATCTTTTCATTTTTTTAACAACACACCTGATTTGATTTCAGGTTCTTGGACTTTTTTGTTTTCATCCCACCTGCCACCCTTTCTTTAAAAATTTGCAGGCCCACCTTCAACTTTCTTCATATAACGGCAAAGAGTTTACGCTCTGCAGTATTCCTTTTTATAATTCAGTACTTCACCATCCATCATGTTAATGCCTTTTCCTTTAGCGCTTACTATCAACTAAACTACTCTTTTAAATGAAAAATAAATTGTATGTAAAATTTTGAAACAAATAATGAATTAGTCTAATTAAATAAGACAGTTTTTTGTGCTAATTACTAGAAGATATTTAGTTTTTGGCATGTAAGAGATTGTTTCAAAAATAAAAATATCATTTCTAAAGAAAATGAGAATAAGTGAAAGGAAGAAATAAAGAATTCACTATGCAATAGAAGAAACAAATTATCCATCATAATAATGATTTCATTTAGGAGAAAAATGAATTCAACTAAAATAACTCTTCGAAGTTGTAATGAATAATTTCTAATAGCTTAAACTAAATTCATAAATTTATAAAATCAAAAGACTGAAATGATCGTTATTTATTATTGCACTCTTATAATTTTCATTAAACTATAATAAATTCCCTCCATAACTATACTAATTAACTTTTTCACTTATAGTTTATGTGAAATTTAAATTTATCACTTCCAAAGAATTGATTAAATGTTCTCTTTGCTTCTTTATATTAGAGATTATGAAGGAAAAAAAGCGCTTCCTTCCATAAACTTCCAACAAGCAAAGGAATGTTTTACTTTTTTAAGAAAGTAAATAAAATATTGAAAAATAATCTTTTAAAAGAAAGCAAAGGAATGAATTATTGCTATAAGCAAAATATATATATATAAATTAAAAATAATAATTCTTTCTATGCTTCTCATATAATAAATTTCAATATCTTCTCATTTTTCAATGAAAATTTCCAACTTTTGAAATCATTCCATTGTAATTAAATTAAAGACAAAAAAAAGAAATGAGAGATTTAATGAATTTTTTCGAAGTCATTCATTGACTATGTCAAATGAGAAGTAGTTTAGAATATGAAAGAATTAGATTTATTCATGATAATTCTCATATTTGAATAATTTATCGTTTAATTTCAAACTTCATTACTTATTGTCAATAGTTAATTAACGCTGGTAATTAATGTAGAAATGAAATAGACTGAGATGGAATGCCTTCGTTTTGATAAATCTTTAAAATATGCAAATTTAATTTAAGATTTATTTCAATTATGCAGTAATTACCAATCTGATATTTGCATTGAAATTTGCCTTAAATATGAAATTTGAGGAGGAATTTGGAATGCGCAAATGATCAAAATACATGTTAGCATAAGCCGTATGCAAATTCATATTGGACTAATCGAATATTTTGTTTATAAAATAAAGAATAAAAAAAGAGGAACAATTCGTACTGATCAGATCAGTGATCATTCCCAAAATATTGTAAAGGATGAATAAACGAACTGACCAGATGAGAAGGCTATAACTTTTTTGTTTGCAAGCATTGTTTGAAAACTTAGTAGATTTGTGCCTGAACAGAACTCTGATCTGATCTTTCATAGAAAGGGCATTGATTCCTATTGTTTATTATGTATTAAGCAATAATTAAGTGGCTATTCTAAATTAATCAAATTTAGTATCATGGATGAAAGTACGAACCTGTAACCGTAGAGCAGTACTTTAGGAGTAAAAGCAGTGAATAAGAAGTAAAAGTGCTAAGCAGGAATAGCAGTAGCATAACTTTCTTTTAGAGAAAACCTTTAAATCTCCAGACTGCTTAATAGGCTCTGCAAGGCCCAATCCAGTAAGTAGCTCCGAAGCATAGTGTACACTCTTCATCCTCAAAAATCGATGTAAGCTATAATGGTCTCTTCCTGCTGTTGTGCATACTGCATTTTTGGTATAATTTCAAAAAAGATTTTAAAATGAAGCTCTATGGATGAAAGAATACATCTATGAATTCATTCGTTTATCTCTTCATAGACATTTTCCTTATCTATCACACTCTCAAACTTCATATCTTTTGCATTCCTTTTATTTCTTGAAACTTCCTTTAAAAGGCCTCCAAGGAATGATATTGATTTTGAAGCAATAAAAAAAGCAGATCTTTGATTTTTGCAGAATCAGGTTATCGTCACTACGAAAGTATTCGAAAAATAGATAATTATCAGTGAACTGAAATAAATCTTCCATATGCAAACAACCTGTCAATGAACGAATGAAATAAACGAGCTTTTTTGGCAATTGACAAGAAAAACATGGCACTGAAAGTCATTCATTGATAAATCTGATTTAACTGATGTTTATAAAGATGTAAAGGTGAACCCATTCGAGTAATAATACCTAACTTTCCAATTATGGACCTTATAGCACATCTCAACTGTGATTTATTAAATAATCATAGTTAAATACTTTCTAAATGATAACGCGCGAAAAAAATCATTGTGAAGAGTTAAATGATATTTAAATAATAAATTCATGAATTGAAAAAGACGAAGATGAATGATTGCTTAATCTTCTGAAATGATTCGAATAATTTACAAAACGCCCTAACATTACTAACTTCAACGAAATTGTCAACATCATAAACATTTCATTCCTTATCAACTTCAAAACTGATCAGTATCTATGATGCATTTATGCTTTTGTTTGAATTTTCAAGACAAAATTTCCCATTGCGTTGAGACTGGACTAATCATTTTTATTTATAAACCATCAGCGAAACATATAAGTAGTGGAGAAGCCTTAACGTTAAGGTAGTAAAATGGAAAATTGCAACGTAAAAGAAATCATAATAATTCCGGTTTAAAATTCGGGACAAAAAAATCGAGATGATGTGCCAGACAGATATAATATAGGGAAACGGTAAATGTAAGTGATCATCTTAATCATCTTCAAGATCATGCTTCACTACAATAGCTAATTCCACATAATCGAATAGTGCGAACACGGTAAAGGAGAGATAAGCTATCATGAAAATACGAATCAGGCTTTAAACAAGAAACAGTTGAACTGGATCATCCAAATTTGTAATATAACGCTTTCTGCATAAAACATAAGTGTAAATGTAGAGCATTCATTTTTCACACCATCTTCACTACTTTCAGATAATTATCCAACTTCATTATCCTTCTCAATATCAATAAAGTCATTGTTGAGAGATAAATCCTCTCACCATTCAGCACTACTTACGCAATCAACGAATGATACTTCAAAGAAGCTTGGCACCAATCCTTCAATCGATTCGCTGAACAGACTGTCATATTTTTCCATTACTGTTCTTGTACATTTCTTTCTCGACGAAACCTCTCTATCGCTGCGAAACATACTAAGCTAAGTGACTTCATTAGGCGGCTTCTACACCGCAACTCGAAAATTCGAAGAACAATATTACAGAAAAATCCATTTCTCATACTTTAACAGCAGAAAAATGTGACTATTCAATTTTACATCTAATAATAACAAAAAAAGCAAATTAAACAATGAAGGGAAAAATATAAGTATGGTTGTCAATTTAAAAAAATGTCTATCAAAGAGACCTTCGACTATTGAAAGTAAGTGATAACACATAAGCACGAAATTAACAAATGCAATAAATTTAATGAAGCAAAAATCTATTAATAGCAGTAGCATCCCCATACTAAGTTATTGTTTCATTTACCACCTCGAAGTTGAATTTGGAATAACTATGATCGATCACATCAGCGAACTAGTAATATCGATAAAAATGCATTGCGCACTTAGAAATGAAGAATTTTTCGAAAAAGACAATGAGTTCACAAACCAGAAATACATTACCACTCTTTAAAAAATTATCCATGTCACGAACAAAGTTGACAGGAACTAACTTCAACTTGCCCATCATCAAAAAAAAGAAAAATTTATCGATATTTTTTACGTCTTTTTTTATTGACTGTAGCGAAATGATGAAAAATGCCTATCCTTTAACTATACTTCAAGAATGAAAAAAAATTGTTTCATATAAAAAAAGACTAATTAGTTAACAAAAGCACAGACACAAACATGAGTAGATAAATACATACCCATAAATAAATCTCTTTCTCAAAAAGTGCACTAAGTTCAAGCAACTGATTTAACTGATACACTAAATGCCTTCATTCAAAAGTTCAAAAGATAGCAAGAAGCCAATGCGGAACGAAAATGAATAAACAACGAATCCAAAGAGCAAAGAGTACGTCACTGTCTTAAGTTATCCTCGGTCACACATAGTTTTCTCTGTCACAATTAGAAAAAAATTTAATTACGAGAATGTCAGAGGACTTGGCATTCTCGAATTGTTTCTGTATTCTGCGATAAAAGATAATCGCTGAAATCCTTACAAAGGAACTCTTTACCAACTTCCTTTTTTCCTTTCAACATCCACTACTACACTGTTTACCATTTGCTCAGAGTATATGAAGCTCGAAAACAAACAACGAAGTCTATAGAGAAAGAGCATTAGCCCAAAGACCGGGCAAAGATTTGTGAACAGACAATATACACTGATCTTTTTTCAGCTTAAAATCAACATTTAATATTTTACTCGGGCACTTTGGCATCGCAAAAAATCGCTTATCCAAAACTGTTTTCATTGGCGGCTTTGTCTTTTTATTTAATTTGAACACTTCCAACAACACGCTTAAGCCTCTGCAAAAAGATTGCATAGAAAATTTATTCTCACTATATCCAATACACAAAATAAAAATGTTATTCTAATGATCGAAAAAGTTCTCCACAATTTTAAATGTTCTTAAAAATAGCTGAAAATGCTAGCTCCCGCAATTTGGAAAAAAGAAATCTATCGCAACAATTTCCAGGCCCACATACTACGTTCAAAATTCAGTTTCCAATCTTCACATTTAAGGTCAAAAATTTGATTATTAAGATTTCTGCGTCGCTTTCTTTAATGCATATTCTGCAATAATCTATTACGGAAAAAAATCAATATGGATTGCCCATAATTTTTTAAACTGAACAATCACAAATACCCTACTCTCCGTCATATTTAAGGTGTACGTCAGTATTCGCAGCACGAACCATCGTTTTCTCCCTGATTCCCATCACTACCAAATGTATTTTCAGGACAGTCATACTATCGTTATATTTCACTGAAAATAATAAAAATACTGCTCCGTTTGTAATAAAATATTTAATCAGAAGTCCCAAAATAAGTCTTACTATTATCTTTTTCATAGGATACTTTTTGATTAAAATCACTCATTTCGTTTAACTTGCAATATGTTATGGCTCGTCTTTCAGGCCGCTGGAATTTTCCTTTTCTATACCTAATGCGAGACAACCTAAGAATTGTCAAAAAAATTATAATTTCAACCAAAAAAACATACCAACCTCCAACAGGTCCAGGTAAAGCCTTGATTTCTTCGCTCCAAGTGAACATAATTTGCTGATAGTTATATGCGCATTTCTACAAAGTTTACAAACCCTTCTTCCACTTCAATAAATTGTTTGCTTTTTTCTTATTTCAATTCCACCGTTGAAGCTAACCTTGCAAAACAGGATTCATCGGCAAATCGCAAACATGTCTCCACAAGAACGACAATCTCGGTGAAAACTTAATATAAGATAAAATTAAGCTCGTATTAAAGTAAGTTGGAATTTCAAACGTACATGATTAAAAAGACCGCCGCCCACAATCTCGTATTACGATGAATTTCCAACATAAGTTTTCTAAAGTTTTACCTCATTTCCTTTACCTCATTTCCTTATAAATTGCAATTATCTCTTTTCCAACAAAGAAAAAGTTCCAAGATGATCTAATTAAATTACAAGCTTGAGCATATTTGTAATTTTTCAAATAGCCTTGCACATACGAAGTCAAAAATGAATTATCTTATGAACTATTTACCTTATCAACAAAGAGCACAATCATTGTTACATAAAGTAAATAAAGACATAATGGGAAAAAAGCAGATATATAAAATAATGAAACTTTTCAGTTTCATTTAGATGAGAATGAGAAATACCAATGAACGGAAACTAGAGGTAAAAGAAAAAGCACGCAAAGGGTACATATGATCTCGTTTTCTGTTTAATTTCTATAGACCCTTTTCAAAATGAATGAATGACACAAAGTTACAAATATTATTAAGAAACAGAAAATAGAATAATGTGAACACACCCGCTTTCTACGCCATTTCATTCCTTCTCTTTTATTTATTTGTATTAATTAAAGTGCACCTACTGGTCACACTACATCAGATTAAGTCTTGAATGAACAGCAGGAAATACATCAGAAAAATATGTCCCGAGACTATAAAGCCCACTTCCCAAACAGAAGATCTTCCATTTCTTCATCCAAATCTATCATTACAACCTTCATCCATCTCTACTCCAAACTTTAAACCTTGGAACCACCATGTACTACTTCATTGGTTTTTCGCAGAAGTAAATTTGGCATTCTAGATGTCAACCCAATCCGCTAGCCATCCCATCCTGCGGTACCACGCTACCCTTCCCGCCCCACCCCTTCCAACACTCTTTGTCTATCTCGTCGAGAAACAGATCTGAAGCAAATATTGACGGACACGCGTACGGCCCGTTTTATTTTGTTTCGTCCATCAAATAATTGGGATTTTCTCTGTGAGAGTGTAGAGCCGAGGGAAGGGGGGGTTATACTAGCTTCGCGGTCTCGTCAAAGATAATAAAAGAAATATATTGCATTTGCAGATGTCATCGAGACACAAGCTTGATATAGAAGATGGAGATAAGAAGCGAGAACGGGATCGACGGAAGAGGTAAGCTCTTACTTTCTATACTTTCACTTTTGATCATGTACTGTTGTCTGTGATGGGCATTATCCATTGTCGTAGAGAGAAAGGAAATGTAAAGGACCTTCATATGTCTTCATTGATTGAACAGGAAATGGCGTTTTAAAAAATTATGCCAGTTGTTTAGTAAATTAATTGCTTTTTCAAAAAGTACAATGATACTAATTGTTAAAATGTTCTATATGATTTGTTCGCTACTTATCATTTCAGTAATATTTTGGTTTCTTTGAGAATAGATGAATTTATGTGCATTTTAGTCGCTCGAAATCACGCTCACCACGAAGAAATCGGAGCAGAAGTAAAGAGCGAGGGTGGGAACGAAGTCGATCACCTGCTGAGAAACTTCGTCGCCCAACAGTAATTTTCTTTTAAATCTTTTTGATTTGCCTCCTCAATTTTTTATTTCAAGCAAGAGCAATATTTGACTTTAAAATAAATTCTATCCTTTTTTCAGATAGAAATTAATCCTTTCAATGGTCAATCTTACACACAACGATATTTTGAAATATTCAAGAAACGAACGACACTTCCAGTTTGGGAGTATAAGGACAAATTTCTAGAGGTCCTTGACAAAAATCAGGTATATATTAGCAAATAAAAATAAGACATAGCACGGGTTCATCACGTTTTCTTTCCATTTCCTTGATTGTTCATTTATTTGAACGCTTTAGGTATTATTGATGTTAGGCGCGAAATATCATAAAGTTATACTTGCAAAATGTCAGTCTAGTAGTAGTAATGGGTCATTCTCTGTTGGTTTCAGATAGGCATATTTATGTGAGCAATCAACAACAACAGAATTTCTATTTGCAGTGTCTTACCTTAGTGGGTGAAACCGGATCGGGAAAAACGACTCAGATACCACAATGGTGCTTGGAATATTGTAAGGCGCGTACAACTCCAGGACACCGTCGACTGGTTGCTTGCACGCAGCCTCGTAGAGTAGCAGCTATGAGTGTAGCGACACGTGTTGCTGAAGAAATGGATGTACAAGTAGGCACTCATGATTTTGTAACAAAATTTAATAGAAAATAGAGCGCTAAATTGAAGAGGGATAGACTTCTCATCAAGATGTCTGATTGCTGTGTGGGATTATCAGTAGGGCCGAAGCATAACTTAACCTATGTCTCAAGATTTTCAAACGAGCTGTTTGTTATCCTGAAAAGATTTTTTTGTCAGCCTGATTATGAAATGAGTTTAATTTCTTTGGAGGAAAGTGAAGGCAAAAGGGCAGCCTTACTGCCAATAAACTGTGAATAACTGGACATTTGCCAATGTAGAAATTAGAATTAAAGATACTGAAAGTAATAGTAAAACGGATGAACGATGTTGGAATTTAAATTACATCGTTTTTTCTTATTTCAGCTAGGTGCTGAAGTAGGATATTCAATACGTTTCGAAGACTGCGTCAGCGAGCGGACAATACTGAAATATTGTACCGATGGCATGCTTCTGCGGGAAGCCATGAATAGTCCATTGCTGGACAGCTATGGCGTTATAATATTGGACGAGGCCCATGAGCGTACTTTAGCAACTGATATTCTTATGGGCTTGATTAAGGTTTACTTTTATCATTATTTTCAGTTATTAGATTTTCCCTTTATCATTATTTCCCGTTACTAGATTTATTTCGACATTATTATTTGCCTTTTTAAGGAAATTGTTCGACAGCGGAAGGATATTAAAATAGTCGTGATGAGCGCAACATTAGATTCAGGGAAATTCCAAAATTATTTTGAGAATTGCCCATTGATGTCAGTTCCAGGGCGCACATATCCAGTCGAAATATTTGTAAGTTTCAATTCGTAATTGGAAGAATTCCCTGCATTTATCATGTATGTTCTAATTAACCATAACATTTTTTTCAGTATACGCCGGAACCAGAAAAAGATTATCTTGAAGCTGCAATCAGAACAGTTGTCCAGATTCACGTATGTGAGGAAGTTGAGGGAGATGTATTGCTGTTCTTAACAGGACAAGAGGTATTTTCTTGTATTTTCTGCCATAATTTGCATATATGGTTTAGTATGACAAAATATTTTTTTTCGGAAATTTAAAGTAGATTGTGAAAAGATTGCTGCTAAATGCTGGACAAGATTAATTGGTTCAAACTAACGGATAGGTTTCTCTTCACTGTGCAGTTCCTCTTTAGATGCATTGCTGTGCATAATTGGGAACTTCTGTCGAATTGATTAGCATATTATCATATTGAAGCTTTGACAGCCGCTTTATGTGCACAAACTACTACTTTCATGTTATAGGAAATAGAAGAAGCTTGCAAGCGAATCAAACGTGAAATTGATAATTTGGGACCCGAAATTGGTGAATTAAAATGCATACCGCTTTATTCAACGTTACCGCCTAACTTACAGCAAAGAATTTTCGAGCCTCCACCACCAAAACGACCTAATGGAGCTATTGGTGGGTACAGAAGCTTTAGGGACTTATGTGTGCCTTGCCATACCTTTCTCTCTATCATTAGCGTAGATGGTTCGAGAATTTTTCTAATGAAATAAACCTAAGAAATTTGAAAGTATGGCAAGACACATATAATTTAGGTGCCCCAATTTACTGATATACTTTTAAGACCCTAGTTGACGGCGCCTAGCACAAATTGCAGGTCGCAAATGTGTCGTCTCAACGAATATTGCCGAGACGTCACTTACAATTGATGGCGTTGTTTTCGTGATTGACCCAGGATTTTCGAAGCAGAAGGTTTGTGCAAGAAGACTGCTGCCGAAGGGTGGTTGCTGCTCCGTATCAACGGCTAGCAATGCAATCTCATTATGTTAGCACGTAATATGATGGTGATATCGTTGTTATTACCGGTGCTGAAATTATGTCGTTTTTATAAATAGTTTTAATGAAATGTTTAGGTATATAATCCGAGAATTCGTGTTGAATCGTTGCTTGTGTGTCCGATATCAAAAGCTTCCGCTATGCAACGTGCTGGCCGTGCAGGACGTACAAAACCTGGCAAATGTTTTCGATTGTATACAGAAAAAGCATATAAAAACGAGATGACTGATCAAACGTATCCCGAGATTCTGAGGTTATCTTTGTTGCGGCAGGACTTATGTTAAAAATAGATTCAACTTATAAAGGCAAAAATAAGCTGCACTGAGAGGCTAGTATGATTTTTTGATACTGTGATATCATTGACGTTGAAACATTATAACGATTTTTTTGGCTTCCAGATCAAATTTGGGCACGGTGGTATTGCAGCTGAAGAAATTGGGAGTCGAAGATCTTGTTCATTTCGATTTCATGGATCCTCCAGCTCCGGAAACCCTAATGCGTGCACTAGAAATGCTGAATTATTTAGCTGCTATTGATGACAACGGCGAATTGACACAGTTGGGTTCTTTGATGGCAGAATTCCCGCTCGACCCTCAACTAGCTAAAATGGTTATCGCATCGACAGAATTGAATTGTTCAAACGAAATATTGAGCGTTACTGCTATGTTATCAGGTAGTTTGTTAAATTAAGGTATGGTTCGAAAAGTTCGTTGTATCTGGTAGGTGAAAAATTTATGCCAATAAAAACTGTGGTTTTCGTAGTATACCAAAATAAATTTTAATTTCATTGCTTATTACGGAAAATCGTGATGTGCATCCTGGATATATCTCATTGCAAAAAAATTTTTCAGTGCCTCAATGTTTTGTGCGACCAACAGAAGCTAAAAAAGCAGCAGATGATGCAAAGGCACGCTTTGCTCATATTGATGGCGACCATTTGACTTTATTGAATGTTTACCACGCCTTTAAGCAAAGTAAATTTCAGTCTGCTTGTTATGATAAAATACCTTTTAGCCAATTTTATTAGAGATTTTGAAATTAATTAAATACATGACTGCTGAAATTTTATATTTTTTTGCTTCTTTTTAAAGTTTCACATACTTCAGATCGCGAAGATGTTCAGTGGTGCTATGATAACTTTATTAATTATCGTGCTTTGAAAAATGCGGACAACGTGAGGACACAGCTTGCGCGTATCATGGATAAATTCAGTTTAAAGCGAATTTCAACTGATTTCAAAAGCAAAGATTATTACATCAATATCCGAAAAGCTCTTGTTGCCGGATTTTTTATGCAGGTAAAAGTAATGTAATATTTTTTCATATATGAGTTGTTTCCTGATTTGCTTTAAAAAATTCTTCCCTAAAATAGGAGAATTTTTCACATTTGAAGGGATAAACAAAAATTTCAAACTTTTCACTATGATATTTTTGCTCTCATCGGTTCCTTCTTTTATTATTTTGTTTTTGTAAAAAAAATTTTTCTAAGGTTGTGGATTAATTATAGATTTGATTGCAGGTTGCACATCTGGAGCGAAGCGGTCATTATATAACTGTGAAGGACAACCAGTTGGTTCAGTTGCATCCATCTACAGTACTGGACCATAAACCAGAATGGGCGCTATACAATGAGTTTGTGTTAACAACAAAAAATTTTATACGAACCGTGACTGACGTTAAACCGGAATGGTGAATAATTTTTTCTAATAATATTTTTTAATCTATGCGTACCGTATGATGGCTTGTACGGTTGTATAATGTACACATCTGTCAGCATCCTGATAAAAGTTTGCAGTTTAACCGTCGAGTGATTTCGCTTTAATCCATTTTATAGATAAGTCGTTTGTTTGCTCAACAGGCTTCTTTGATTTCTTAACGTTCATATGTGATATTTTTGTGAAATGTGAAAACTTTTTTGAAAGCAAACAATGGTTTCTTTCAGGCTTGTTCAAATGGCTCCTCAGTATTACGATATGGCAACATTTCCAGAATGCGATGCCAAAAAGAAGCTACAGCATACCATCTCCACTCTTCAGTCTTTGAGAGCCACACGTGGTATTTAAGTCCATTGCTGTTGCTCGTTATTCCAGTATCCCTTTTAATTATTTAAAAAAAAAAATTGAGCAACATTTAAGGTATATTTTCATTAATTTACCACAATATGTTTTTATTTTCTGCTTGTTCCTTAATTAATCTAGCTCTCTTTATTCAGAAAAAAACCTGCATAAACCTACATATCTGAAGTCACATTTTGTTTATATCAATGGATAGTGGTAACAATGTTCGTATTAATATATTTTTGGATATTGAATCTTACAACTCCACTGTCACTCATGTTTTTAAATATAACTTTTATTCATTGATCTGTTATTTGTGCTGTATAATTTCAATGTAGGCTCGCTCTAATTTTCATGTTACAGATTTTGTTTTTGCTCTCTGCGAAAAATTGTTGGTTTATTCAATCGTTACCAGAATTTGTCATGTAAAACTGGCATTTTTTGTTCCCAAGTTAATAAACATCATCCTATTATTTATTTTTCTGTATAATTTCCTGGAAGATGTCAATTGTCATTTGATAAAAATTGACACATTGCATAAGAATAACAATGATCTAAACCGCATTTTACATCTCATTATGCTTTTAAATACGGTAAGATTGTTTTCTGCCTCTCTGACTTAAAAACCGTGATCAGTTTGCATTTCCAATAGAAAATTCTGGAACAGTTGTAACAGTTTGCATTTCCAATAGAAAATTCTGGATTGACTCGATACATTCCACTTTCACTTTTTTCCACATGTCGGAAGTAATCAAATATCCTTTCAAATTTCGCTAGTTGTTGGGTCTTACTCATAAATCAGTAGGACGAAAGCCGCAGTGGGAAAAGACCGAAAATGCTGACGACAGATTCTTCACCCACATTAGAGACATTCTGAAAAATCGTAAATATCGTTCTCATTATTGTGAGGAGCTGATCGCTAATTTATACTGCAAATTATTTTTATAAGTTTCGATCAGCTAGCTCCAGAAATTGTGATTTTATAAATCTGTCGTAATAGAAGTTTAAGATGTGTACTTTTGACTTAAGCAATCTTACAAAAGAATCCATCAAATGTTTTATGATTTATACTTGCATAGTCTTTCCCCATATATCCCCTGCTAGAGTAGTCGTGCAAAAATTGTAATTGAAACCATTCTAAATCGATCCGTACCACATTAACTTCTATTTTAACTGTTTGTTGGTTTGAATCAGCAAAGTAAGTAGCCATCGAACATCATTAATTTATTAACAGTTAACTATTGCAGGGTAACGATTATGATGAAGAGAACGAGTCTTCATTGAATTTAGCAGAAAGAATTAAATTTAACTCCAAAAGCATTTTAGTGTTAAGAAAAGACCATTCGATCTTAGTTTGCTGAAATGTTGAAATATAAAAATTTGTGCGAAATAGCAGATATGCTTGTATCATTTTGGGAATTGAAATAAAATGACAGAAGGCATTGATTTAAACAAATCCATCAACAGATCCACAAGCAGAACTAATTCAAATCACTCTGAGGACTTTAATTTGTCTTCCACCTCATCGACATCATACTCATTTTAATGCTTGAGTCTAATCATTTTATGCTTGAGTCCCTCAATAAATTTTGCACAATCTTTGAATGCTATTTGGAAAACTATTTGCAATATTTTCTCACAAGCGCTGTTATCATAGCTGCTTAATTATATTGAATGAAAATATCCATTTAACCATTAAGATTACTTCCTCTTATTTGATTTCAAAAATTGTTCTTATTTGGATAATACTGTAAATGAATCAATGAACCAATTCTCAAAATATCACTTTGTTTTTTCCAATAGTCGTCATTATCTTCCCTTTTTAATTTTATTTCATAGGCTCATTTTTCATAAAATCAGGACAAAGTATTGCCTCAATTTTTTCAATAAAAAGAATATTTGTCTACATATGTGTGGAGGATTCACACTGGTCACTCCATGTGCCATCATATCACAAATTCCTTATTGTAAGTATTTTATTCTAACTTTAGCTCTTTGGTTTCAATAATTCCTTCCGGTATAAATACCATTTACCATTTTTAAATACCATTTTTTTATTCCTTCCGGTATAAATATCATTTTTGATTACTTTATTTGTAATTTTTCATTTAAATGTTAAGTAAGGGATCAGCAAAACGTTTTCAGACAATCCGTTAGCATGAAACAAGCAGATCAAATGAACATTGCTGTTATCTTTTGAAAACTGCCAGCTAGCACTGTGTAATCATTTCCCCCTGTGACAACGCAGATAGATGTAAACAAATAAGGAATAATTGTATTTGAAATTTAATCCACAAATCGATCGACTATAAATGATCGACAAATAATTGTTTAATCTCCCTTCTATGAATTAACTTTCTAATCGTTCTAATCATTTATGTTCTCAATCTGATTAGTCGCTGAAAAACTTTTGAAAACACAAACTATGAAAACTTCAATTTATGCAAGCCGTAAATTACAGTAAAACATAAAACAAATAATAACAAAAGACTGATTATTTTGATGCTAAATACGAATGATAGTAATAGTCAAAGTATGTCAATTCAAATGAACCAAAATTAGATCGCATCACTCTGACTTTGAATTTTAATATATATGAAAGAGTGATGGATGATCAACAAGCAGTCAGTCTTCCGTTGTGTATTTGAAGGATCTTTAATTTTCTATTATTAAAAGAGTGTGTAGTGTGGGAGATATCACTTCGCTGTAACTTAATATTATCTTCCACGTCATCTTTTTGCCATTTTTCGTTCTCACATTTTCTTGTCTACCGACAGTTTAAAAAAAATTCCGAAGAACAGTTAAAGAAAGAACACATATTCGAACACTCAGCGTCAGTTGTTTTATGTGGGTGTGAAACTTTAGTCAGCAAAATTTTTTGAAATTAGAATCCGGTTTCCGAAGACATTCTTGTTAAAAGCGACTCCATTACGGTACTCAATCATATATGTCTGATCAGCTTTCGGTGGTCTCACATTATATTGCAACAAGGAATGTGCTGATAGTGGGAGATGATGGAAGAGAAAAAAGTAAGAAAAAGATGACAATGATGCTGGTGGTGAAATATGTCATCATAGTTATCTTATCTTAAAACAATAATGAATGATATAAACAAATGATAACAAATAAACTGATAAGCGGATTGATTGATACATGTTGCAGTTGTTTTTGCATCTTCACATAGATTTGTCATCTACATCTAAACAAATTTATATGTATTTACTCATCGGAAAAAAAAAAACGAGGCTATTACAAGCTTATCTCAGTTATATCTTATGCAAATGAATTTCATGTATCTAAAGCGCGGGACGGCTTGTGAAAGAAAAATACTTTCAGTTTGCAGAAGAAAGTAAATACGCTACGAAATGCACTTATTTTAACACTACCTCTTATTCATTATAATTCTTATGGCAAAAATTATCCAGGTGATATACCACAAAGGAATAATGTTAAAGCCAATTGAAAGTATAGTTCGCTTCCTAATGTACTAAAACAAGGAGCTATTCAAACAAACAAATCTCTTCATTGAAAGATCACTTCAGACATTATTATTTTGAGTGCAAAAGTTTGAAGTCAGAATAAACATTCCTGATCTCGTACCATGAAAGATAAATATTTCAAGGGGGACTTTCTTCTCTTTAAAAATTTTCATTCAAACATATTTCATGCTCAATATTATTTTGCCTTCACTTTTGGTCACTTTCACTTCTTCATCACGTCACTGTCATTAATATCATCGATTAATTGCACTTCCATAACAATTTAAATTCCTTCCAATTGTGAAATTCTGTTGGGTAACTAAATTAAATGAAAGGGTTACAAAAAAAATGAAAATTCCTCCACGTGATTCACATTTTAGCGTCAATATATTTCAAAAGTTATCAATTAGACTCTTTTTCTTCACTGTTCGATGATTCTTACGAAGGAAAGAATGCAATTCTTTATCAATCTATCAGTGAAATTCTTTCACGAGATTGAAATGAAAGTGAAAAACATATATAAAGTTTTATATAAATGCAGTAATAGCAATGTTTACTAATTACTACAACTATTGTTCTTCTGAAATTACATTTGTTTTTACTGTCAGTTTATCAGAAAAGCTGTTGGATAAGAACTTCGCGGAATTTGAAAAGGTTGAGTGTATTTGATACAAAGTTCATATTTATTTCTGTTTACAAAGAAGTTTTATGCATTTAATCAAAAGAGTTAATTTTAAGTATTCATTCGATTCTAACATACAATAATTTTGAAGACAATTATAGTTGGTCGAAATTAATTATTTTTTCACGATGATTAAATCGGCCGTTTAAAAATTGTGATAACATTTGGAAATGAAACTTAACTGAAAGAAATTTCTAATCCTAAAATTTTTTGAAATGCTAACAGTCTGATGATATTTTAATTGCTATCTAACGAATATGAAGTATGACAAGAAATGAAAAGATGACGTAGGGAAGTGTTTCGAAATTTCCGTCGTATAGGAGTGGCATATAAACTGCTCATTTGAAATTTGACAAGTTTTACATTAATTTCCAACTTGAAATTAGCAATTTGCGAAGGAATTTTTCTTCGTGATAGATTAGTTTGTTAGGGACGTGAACTTTTTTTTGTTTATCAATTTGTTTTCCATGTTCTCTTTTCTACGCCCATCTTCAACAATTTGCATTCCCATCATAAAATCATTCATCCCTTACGCTTCTATAAATGACCACTCCTCCTTATCCTTTACACTGCTTATAAATGACCACTCCTCTTCATCTTTTCCATTTCTGTGAATAATCGCTCCTCTTCATCACAAAACCATCCCTTCCCTATCTGTGAGTGACCATTTCTCTTCATCTCAGAACTATCTCGTGCTCTTTGTTACAACATACTCTTTGCTATAGTTTATTATATTCATTTCTACTTCGTTGAATATTTAGCTTTCACTCTTGAGATCGAAATAGCTTTTGCACTTTCTATTCAATATTCTTTGATAATTTTTTCGTAAGTTTCAAGCTGTGCGCAAACGAATACTATAAAAGTAACTTTCGTCTTTCTACGTTACCATTTTGCAATATTTTTGCGTATTTTAATTAATCATAATATTCATACAATTTCAACTTTATAGCATAAATTCTTTTTAGAGATGGGTAGTTTGTATTTTATTAATTAAAATCCTTTGGCTAATTAAAACTCAATATTTAAAAACGAGCAGTTGGAATCAATGAGGGAGATGCTGGGACGACCGCTATTCAAATTCTTTCGTTCATCGACAGCGACCCCTATGTCACCATCCTCATCCACTGAATATCATCAATTAAAAGAGGAGAAAGATGAAAGAGAGCGACGCAGTACTCGGAGTACATCTGATCCCATATGGATACCTAAAATCAGGTATTTCTTAATTATTCACACTTTCAAAATACTATAAATAGCGAGGCGCCAAGAATGTATAAAATTTAACCTACAAGTTTTTTTAAAGATTCCACATGCAGGCTTTTTATCATCAACATTAAACTTACCTTCTACCATTATGCTTTTAAAATGAAAAAATTTCAGAAAAGAAAGCAGTTCAAGTGATAATGCCATCTGCGATCATGATTATATGCTGGTGGATATCAATCATAGGTTATGTAAGGTATAATTTAACTTCAGCTTTCTAATATTGTATCTAACATTCTTTTTCTGATGTGCTCTAATCAGAGTAGAATGCACATTTATAATGTTTCATTATTTTAGAGCGCTGATAACGAAAAGCGTCTACATGATGCAAATATGGATCAGTTAGATCGAGTACCTGTTGATTTTTCCGCCCCATCAGGTCCAACGATTATAACTGATCCGGGTGAAGTTGAGTGAGTTTATGTTTGTAAATTCAGCAATGCCGTTATTTGATATCACAAAAGTAAATGTCGCATAAATTAGCGGGAAGAATAATTTTTCAATGAATCATCAAATTCTATTTCAAATTCAATGGAAATACTGAAAATATTCAAAAAATTATGCAAATTTTAGGTTTTAACGAAAATAAATAGGAAATATCGCTTTTATGTTAACATAACATTGTTCAAACAATTCACTTAAAAGAAACTTAAGGAAATAATAAGTTGAAGCAACCATTACAATGACATGAACAGTACGTAAAGTGAAAAAGGATGACATGAAAAGGACACGTGAATTGATAGTGATAGTGATTTTGATAGTTCATCATAGATCAGCAGGCTGATATGAACCCGTTAGTATGCTAATGAGTATTTCACCTTAACATTCTTTATTTAAGAGAGATACTGATGTGCGGTGAATCTCGACCCATTTATGAGGATCATTCCAAAATTTACGGTCTTGCATCGTATTCAATGTATCGTGCCGAGCGTTGGTTTCATCAAAATGCTGATAAGAGGAAAGTGGAACGAATGTTGTTAAGGACTGGAGGAGAGGATGGGTAAATATTTATCTATCTCCTTGCTATTTCTTTTTAATAACCTTAGCCACTCTGAGATTACACTTGACCAGCTCTTGAAATGATTGTGTTTTATAGAAAGCGCACCTTCTAAGAATTACTTCTTCTGCTTTGGATAACAGGAGAGAAGTAGAAAATAGTTTTATGAATGACATTTGATAATCTTAGATAATCAATTAATTATTGGAAGAGAATTTTAAACTTATCGTAAAATATTGTAAAATAATCAGAGAATTTATAAGCTCAACAAAAGTTTTACTAGTGGAAGAATAATTGGTTTATAGACGAAAATTGAAGAAGAAACAGAAAGTACTCCCATCTTTTCTTTTGTATTTAACTTTTCTCTAAGGTATTTATTTAACGTTGAAAAACGTGTTCTTAGTAATTTTAAAATGTTCTTAGTAATATTAAGCTAAAGAATCATAATTTATCTCAAGAAATACAATAGAGATTCCATTTTTTTTCTCCGAATAATTTCAGTTCTTTTTTGGTACGAGTTGATGAGCGGAACTGCCTGATACTTACAATGTGCCATCATCAGAAGGTTTACAACATTTGTATTAATGTTGTAAGTATTTCATTATTATTTTATCTTCAAAAAAAAAGAATTATTATGGTGTCAAAGAGGCTACTATCTTTAATGATCGGTTTTTTAGACGATTTCAGTCACAATGATAGAACTATCGCAATACTAATGATACGATAATGATAAGTGATGAAGTGAAAAGATGTGCAGATAAATGTAGTTTTTTTTTTTTTGCAGAAAGTTAAAGGACATAAAACAACATTTTTCATTGAAATACAGCATCAGTTTTCTAACTTGATAGATCTAATTAAATATCATACCGAGCATCAAGGTTTATTGCTACCATGTAAACTCAGCAGAGGCGTTGCGCTTCGATGGCCTGACTCCATAAAGTAAGTGCTTCTCAGATATACATTAAAAATTAAGAAATAGGGAATGCATTTATCCGAGATATCCAGAGCTAAATATTGATCTGTAAAATTTCTGTAAACTGATTTTAATGCCGCTATGAATGTAATTTAAGAATGAAAGATTTTTTTACTTTTAATATCTCTCATAAATCTTCTAAAAATTCTCAAACTTCCTCTGTTATATAATCTTCTGTAGGAAATTCTGAAATTGTTTTTCACATTACTTGATGACCTGATTCATTCTATAATTACAGGAGAGGTGCAACAAATCGGTTGTATGTTGAGGAAGATTATTAATTCACAGAGAAGTGAACAATTGAAGTGTTATATCATCATTGAATGTCCGTAAATTCCTGAAGAAAATAAATGTACTTTTCGGCAAAATAAAAAGGACTAAAAAATTGATTTTCTTTTCTTTTATATCAAAATAGATGAGAAGATGTCAAAAAAGAGGCAGTGAATATATCATATAGAATTCGTGGAACTATCAAAAAATCAAATCATCAAAAATCAAACATTAAATATATTTAAAAATCGCATTAAATCTACAACAGAAGAAGAAATTATTCGTAACTATTGCACTTTATAAATGAAATTCTTTCTCACTTATCAATTAAATAAAAGTTTGAATTACTCACACGCAACAATTTAATTTTTTAATTCCCTCAGGAAAGTTCAAAGTTCTTTCTCAAACTGAAATTATTACATTGGTCAGATATTTCTAAAAATTCCGTAAATTTCAAATGATCACCTCATATTAAATTAATTCCATTTATCAGACCAATTTATGAAAATTTTTTCTTTTTCTTGATAATTTTGTAAAATATTAAAGAATGCCAAAAACTATGGGTTTATTAGATTACCAAACCAAAATAGACCAATGCATGATTTAATTATTAGCTTCTTGGTTTGATTGAAATTTCTATCAGTCAATCCTAACTCTTCTATGAGAAATATTATTGATAAATAAAACTTATCATGATAAAAAATATTGTCAAAATTAGATCCATCATATATGAAGTTTTCCTTTCTAACGTGAAAATTTATGATAACAGAATTATTTTCACGTTTATTGAAAATAGAGAAAGATAGAATTGATCTTTGCATGATATTGTTTGTGAAATGAGTAATGACCGGATTATTTTTGTATTTAAACAAACGAAATTTCAAGCAAAAAGAGAGAGAGAGAGAAAGGATAAAAATGAGGATTAGAAAATCCTTTTAAACAAATATTACGTATGTATTGAGTTGACCATTTGGCTGGCAGGAAATAAAGACAAAGAAAAGGATTTTTTTTCTCTTTGAAAGTTATTTCAATTATGCTTTAATTTTACGCTTCAGTGATCGAATGCTAAATATTCAAATGTCCCTTATGCTCCTAATATTATTCTCATTTATCGCAGGTATGTCTTGAGTGTTTTCAATTAAAATTTCACATTATCCTAAGTTAATTTTTTAGAACTGTCCCTTTGTTCCTTATATTCATTACTTAATTTCATTATTCATTATTTAATTTATTATTTAATACGAAATTTATCGATGTATTTTCAATAGAAACAAACAAAATGTGATTTTATGAGTGCGAAAATATGAAAATAATATCTATAATTTTTTAAATTTAAAATTTTATTGTTTAAATTCTTAGAATTGCTAAATCGTTTAAATTTTTATTTATATTTTCTTTTGTATTTTGCGTTGTTTTCTAATCAATAAATGGAAATGAAATATAACAAAATTTTATGGGATTTTTACAACAGAAAATAATTTGAGTGTGTCATATATTTAATTGAAAAATATAAAATTTTTTTCACTACTTTTTATTTCATTGCTGATGTAAAGTACAACAGATTCGCGAGTTTCATTTCAATTCATTCTGCAATATTTCAACACTTTGTAGCATCTTGTTGTCTTTCAAAAAATAAATTGGTTGTGAATCAAAAGTTAGATTTAGTTTCATTGGTAAGTCATGTCAAACGAATCGAAATAATCGCATACTATCCATTCTTTGTAACTTTTGGCTAATTGATTGGAATTATTTTCAATAGCAATGGTAATTAGAAAGAAGAGAGAAAAGGAGAATATTGTTTTATTTACTTTTAATTTCTTGCCACTTTTTACTTCTTACCTGTCTGCTACATATACGTTCACAATGTATAAATTTGTTTATATTTGACAGTGAACAGCGTTTTGAGAAATTTTTTCGTTCAAATTTGATTCAATCAAAACTTTGGTTTTTATACATTTGCATCAGAATTTCACCCAGGAAAAAAATTATATGGTTTTGAATGTGTAATCAGAATCAAGAAGCTTTCAATTTCGAATTTAGATTTGTCTCGATTTTTCTCTGTAGATTTGTCTTGACACTTTACCTCTCATCTGTCCTTGATTTTAGATTTTGATATCATTCATTTTTATCAGAGAATGCATTGAAAGATATCAATGAAATAATCAACCTCAGGAAATACCTCAATTTCGTTTCCATCCTCGGTGGAAATGGCCGCGGTGTTGTAAATGATGACGCCTTGGGTTATTCAAATCATTCCACCAACTCGACTCTGTCATTGATATTGCCAATCAATTAATAACAATATTGAGGCAATTCGCGGTGATACCATCACTATAATACATTTTATAAGCGTTTCGATCATCGAATTGTGTCCAACAAATGATTAAAGAGATAGGTTAGATAATTAACAATTCAATAATTAGATTTTATTAAGAAGAAATCAATAAATGAAAAAACTTATTGAATGCTTATAAAAGAGATTTTCTGTTTAAACTTGCTATGAGAAGATTCAGTTAAAAAATGCTTATACAGCAAATATTAAAACAAACTTGAATTAAGTCGACAGGATGAAAATTTTTTACAACTTCTTGTTAAAGTGCAATTCTCTCATTCTGCGGGAATCATCAGCTTGTGATATCATTTCGGACATAAAAAATCCTGATGAAGAAAGAAAAATTGTTTTCACATCCAACTTTTCATATATTTTATATTTAATCTTTCCAATCATACTAACTTCATCATTTCAAAAAATGAGCGGAAAAAAAAGATGGACATGAAATATTTCAAATTCACAGTTTACTTATTTCATTCATTATCGGCAATTTTTCTATAAGCGACGAAGTTGTTGGTATTATAAGTAAACCCAGGCATAGGTGACCACTGAACCACTGGACATTGAGTTACCTCCAGTTTTTTACAATTTAGTAACAAAATTTTCAGAAATACAATCATAATATAATTGCATAACATTTGAGCTTCAGAAATTTTAATGATCTGAGAATACATTTCAACTTCTTTCAATCATCAAATGCACTTATTTATTGGTTGCAGATATTGAATTACACTTTTATCTTCTTTTCCTCATCTCTTCAAAAGCTCTTTCTCCATATGTTTAAATTTAAATTTGAAGACGTATATTTAAAGGCCTTTTGCTTTTACTGCTATCATATAGTAAGTGTAACTAAAATATCTCATGCGCTCTTTTTAATCATACCTGAAAGAAATAAGTTAGCATTCAAGAGCACAATTATTTCAGCTAATAAAATTTTGTCTAAAGAACTTTTTTACCATTTTAACTATCCGATAATCAAAATTTGAAGGAGCAAGCATAAAATCTTGTCTTTATAAAATCCTAAAATTTTCTATGAAAACGATAAGTCTAATTTCAATATTAATCCTATATGCAAACATTGTTAATCAAATGATTGTCAAGGAAAGCAACATTTTATTAAAGGTTTTAAATGAATAGAGAACCATATAATTATCATTATAGTTGGCCGAAGGCTGGTAAGCCTACTGATTCTGGCCTAAAATCTTCCAAACTTTCCAGCACTCCAACGATTTGTTCCTTTCCTTCATCAGGTGCCTTTGTGTATCTTAAATCAGGTACCATAACAACATTCATACCAGCACGAATAGCAGCTAAAACACCATTCGGAGCATCTTCGAAAACCAAAACATTACTGGGATTCACTGGTGGATTGCGGAATCTTTTCATTGTTACAAGGTATGCTTCCGGTGATGGTTTACCTTCTTTTATTTCTGGATCGCTACTACATTTCACCTAAAATTTAAATGATTATGGTAAGTACTTGTAAGTAAACAAATGAACTTGCAATTCAAATTTAAATTTAATATTTTTGGAAAGATTTTGATTATGAAAAATTTTGTCTATCACACCAAGGAAAATAATTTTCCGCATCTTTTACGACATGTGCCATATAAATTATATATTGCGGTTAAATCATCTTTAAATTATTTTTGGTTTTGTAAACAAGAAAATATATTAAAGAAAATTTCTGTATTAAAAATAAAAACCGGAAGGAACTATTTGTTATTCGATAATCTTCTTCCGGTAAAATGAGAAACAAAGAATTACACCGTAAAATCTTGAAATCAGTGGTTTTTACTTGGAAAATCTTTGTAAGAAAATTATTTCTGTGATAAACACAGCTATATTGATTTTCTGATTAGCAAAAGATAAATAATTCTATCATAAAAAAGATTTTTCTTTCAAAAATTGATAAAGTACATTAGACGAAGCAAATAGTATACCTGCACAGGTATCAAGTCGATAAGATCTTTATGATTCATTGTTTTAAATTTGAATGAATAATTGCTAGATCCAGAACATATCGCCATTGGTATTTTGTGATCATAAAAATGTCGCACCAGTCGTAATGCTCCAGGCATCTTTGGACAGCGTGGCAATTTCTTGAGAAGTATTGGATGGTAAAGGTTATCGTACTCCTTAACGCTCACTTTGTCTGCTAAGCCAACCTTTAAAATTTAAAATAAGAAACAAATTAAATAATTACAAATAATATGAATGAATCATTCATTATGTTTGATGTAATATTCTAAAAAGTAAGGCTTTTAAAGCAAGAAGATTTTAAGATTTAAATACAATCACAATTTATTAACCTTATCGAGGAGCATTTTAATGGCAGTTTCATGTTTCATACCCATTGTAAATGATTTCAAATCTAGCGTAAATTTCTTTCCAAAATGCTCCATAGCAAATGTATGACTTTCAGTATAACTTGGCTCTGTATCAATGAGTAATCCATCCAAATCAAATATTACATGAGTAATATGGAAAGTTTTATTTCCTGGCATATTCCTTCTACTTCTCAAACTTTTACATAAATATTTTCTATCATAAAATACCTGAAAATTTCTTTAAATTTTAAAATAATACTTTTATAATTTATATTAAAATTTAATAATTCAAAAAAAAGAATGCAATAAAACATTTTAAAATTTCGGAAATATTGAAGAAAACATTATTAAATGAAGTTAAAAGAATCGAAATAAGAAGGAAATATCAAAAAGAGTTGTGATTAGTCTCATTCAAATATATCAATCATTATTTAAAGCTTTCATTTCCATCAATAGAAATGAATGAATGAATAATAATGCTAATATATCATTACCATAATCTTCCTTTAATAAATGAACTTTTCTCTCAAATATTTCAAATCATTGATAGGTCTAATAACATCTGTCACTTCAATAACTTCATCTTATTTGATTTCTTATCAGTTATTATCTTTAAATGTAAACAGCTCTTTTCTTCCAACTCACACTTCTTTGCAGCAATTTTTTTCTTTTGGAAATACCCTATTCTCCGTAATTTTATAAATAATCTTTGTGTATGTGTAATTTTTGCATGATAAGTTCTATTATGATCTGTAAAACATAGTAAATACTGATCAATAATACTGATAATATTAATAGTTAATGAAAAATCATTTTAAACTTCTTTTTTTTTCATCGGAATAATTCCCATTAAAAAAACAATTAAAAATTGGAATAGATGTTAAAAAATATTCCAAATGATCATAATAGGCCTTCCAAGAAAAAGATCATATATAAATGAATGTTTGGAGCATTGTAGTAAATGAGATATTCAATATTTCGAATTTTAGCAATAACTTTATGTTGCATTTTATGTATTAGAATAAAAACCTTTTAAGCAACTTTTTTGCTTCACCTGAAATTGTAACTAACAGCTAATTTCCAATTCAAATGTATACATACTTCCAAATTTTTCTTTTCATTTAGAATTTTGTTTACTTATTCTTTCATACAATCACTTACTTATCACATTGATTATAGTAATTTGAATAATTTGAGGATGAAATTCAAACAAGTATTCATAATTTTTCCTTTATAAGAATACAAATCAGTTGAACTATTTGAAAATAATCATAAAAATACTATCTGAGAAGCAATTTTCCTAAGAGAGTTAATTAAGAAAAATAAAGAAGTAAATTTGAAATTTTCCTATACATAGTAATTTGTTCAGATTAAAACGAAATTCCACACTCCAATAATATTAGTAGCATTTTTTTGGATACACAATGATTAGATAGTAATTATGTAATGAGTGAGTAATATATCAATTTTAATATGGATGAATAAATTTGGTATAATAACAGCGAGATGTTACTTTTATCAAATAATTGGCTAATTAACAAAAAGTTTTTAGCCTTATAAAAGAAGAAAAATTCAATGCTTTTGAAATGATAAAAAAATTTGTGATTAAAATTTTAAAAATTCAGAAGTTATGACCAAGAAACCGCACCTGACAGAGAGAGCCGTTGTAATAACAGACAATCAATTAACAACAGAACGCAAAAAATCTCTTATTGAAGAAAGTTTCCGGCAACTAACCTTTGATCGACGTGATAATATCAATGTTGTTGAAGAAATAAATAAAACTTAAATCGAAAACAAAGATCATTACAGGCTGTTCATTACAATGACGTCAAAGTTGAACAATAATGGAGAAAAAATTCTTAAGCAATTGCATTTATTTGAACAGAATGATACACACATACGGAAATAACTGCATGTTGAGATGTATCACTGCTATTAAATGGACAATTTAATGAGATAAATTCAAGAAATATTTTGTTCAAATGAAAGCAATAATGGTATTAACAACAATTTTTAATGAGATGTTCTCCGATAGAATAACAAATGACAAATGCAGATAATGGATCACGGGATATCGATTACAAGATATCGAACATATTCGATAACACTTAAATCGATTATTGCTTCTGCTTAAGTAACTCTTAATTCTATAAACCAGCTGCTTGATATTATAAATATTTAGTACTAATATGACTTATTTTACTGCCTACACATATCAAACATATTGTTGGTATTCCGGTATATGAATATTAGAATGGATAAAAAAAATCCTTAAAGAAATAGAATGATATTCTAAAACGGCATACCGAATCCTCAAAAATCATCGAAACAACACCTGTTCTTCCCGCTTACATCTTAGAGTGCGTCTCTTTTAACGAATAAAATTCGTAAATGCAAAAACTAGTTAGTTTGTTTCTCAAACTTCTTCCTCTTTCCATAGCCAATTCTTTTCATTACACCCTTTCAAATCAATACTTACCTCTTTTTACCTTGAAGTGATGAACCTTTTCTATATTACACTTAACACACACACACACACACACACAGACACACACGTACGAATACCCAAAACGTTCCACTCTGTTGATCCATTTATGTTGCTTTTATAAATTAGCATTGAAATTATTCGATTAATTAACATCTTTCATTTTCACATGTACTTGTATATCTAATCAACAACTGATAAAATAATCAATAAAAATTAATTAAAAGAGTAACTTCTTGAGTCTATTTTGAGTAATCTGGAATATCTGGCGATGTTCAAATATTCAAGGAAGAAGAGCTTTCCAGAAAGTTTTCATATATTATTCTCTTTACTGGTAATATTTGTTACCTTATAATATTAACTATCACTTATCAAATGTACAGCACTGATTATTTCCTATGACAAAATTACTCAGTTCATTCTCATCAGTAGAGCAATTACCGTGCTTATCGTATAATCTCCGACAATACAACTATTTTCTGCAACAAAATGAGCAGCAATCAACATATCAACCAACAAAGTAATTAGAATCAAGAATCGAAATGAAATTAAACTTAGTCATCAAACCAGTTAAGCGTACCTAATACCCAATAACCGATAACATTATTTTTAAGGGGAAATATTTCTGAGCCAAAATTATTTTACCATTCTTCGTATTTAAGACTGATTCCTTATACTGACAATTTTAAGAAAACATTAAAATACAGTTTGACAGATGCGTATTTTCTGCTGCTGCCGTCTTCGCCAAATGAATACGGCTGAATACATAAATTATTTTAACATAAATTATTTCCAACCTATACATTTGTAACTTCTTCATTTATATGAACTTTCACTATTAGCATTCCTAGGAAGCTATGACAAAATACTACTGTAAAAAAATCAGATTTTCCGTCTACAGAAAACTTCATCGTCTTCTTACTTGTTGGTTAATATAAGCTTCAGATAATAATAAAATATTTTCAACAGTTATCATCCTTTTTATCATTGAGAAGTAATTTCATTCCAAATAGAAGAAACGAAAGCAACAATAACAACCATTCGTTTCTTGAATCCCGAACAGTCGAACTCTAATGCTTTATATATTAAATATTAAAAAAATGTTGCACATAAATAATGATGTTAAAATCCAGCTATCCAATTAGGCTATTGTACAACGCCAAAATGTTGCAGAATGAAGGAACTTTCTTTCAGCATGACTAATGCATTATAAAAAAGCTTTAACATTATATTTGCTAATGCATGACTCATAACTTCAAGTTTTGGTAATGTGATGGATGATGCTTTACTCTGCATATCTTATTTCCTTTCTTGTACACATATGAAGTAAATAAAATAAAAATCTGTTTCTTCAAGATCTTAAACACTCTCTATCTATCCCATATAATTCTTCGAAAACAATTGTAGGATATAGATAGATTCAGTGGATGTGATTTACTAGAATTAGTTTGCCCAAAAAAATCCGAAAAACAGCACAAAAAACAGTTCGTCAGTATTCGTTAACAAAAAGCAAGTTATTATTTCGCTTGTTATAACATTTTGTTCAAGAATACTCCTCTTCCATGGCCTTCTGCTTCTCCTCAGAATTTGGTGCATTAACGTCGCTTTTTTCGTTTTCTTCAACCAATGCGGCTGGCAAAAAATCGCGATCCGGCCAGAGCTCTTCAAAAATCTTTTTTACCTAAAAAAGACAAATTATTAATAAGATCAGTATTAAAAATGAATTTTTAACACTTATACGAAGAGAAAAAGAAAATTAAATAGAATTTACTTGAATGTGAATATCAGAAAAATTTATTTACCTCCTTGAGAATACAAAATACAGTTGGTATTGATATACCAATAACTTTAAAAGAAAGTTACCTCGTAAACAATTTGGGTATAATTTAAATGTTCATTAACATTTGGAACAATTCGCATATTTGTCGGCAAAGTGTGGGAAATTACTGATGGTAAAACCAAATCAAAATAAAGGGACCACAAGATTCGAGGTTTCATTTCTTCTGTAAAAGTTGTATTACTAATGTTTTTATCTTCTTGATCCCTAATTTAATTAGAAGCGCATAATTTCTTCGAATCTACAATTAAGGGGTGATCGTAACTATTTTAAATTCAGGGTGAGAGAGCACGGCAAGACAAAAAAACTTCAAACTGTCTTTTTCAGGTAAAAAATTTTTGAAGATCTATTAGTCCTATGGCATTTAAGAACAAAAGAAAATTTCATTTTAATTAAGTTCTAAATATAAAGCGGCACGAAAAGAAAAAAGTAATAGGATTAATAAATTTGATGATTATAAAGTCAGATTATAAATCATAAAACATAAAAATTATGAATCATAAAACTATAAAACTGCAATAAATGTGAATGGAAAAATTAGTGCAAGCAGGAAAATACAGTTACCATTCTTCGTCACATTGAAAAACACATCAATGATAGGATTTAAAATAGTACTTGCAACGCCATCACTTCTAGCAGTTATATGAGTAACATCTAAAAGCATTCTTGTTTGTGTTCTTTATCTTAAAATAAATATAAACTTCAGTCGCAACTCAAATTTTCAGTAAATGGGGTAGTGAATTAAGGTTATTAAATGCAGTTCCAGCTGTGCAACAGTAGCAAATTTTATCACTAAAAAGGCAAACTAAAACAGCTATATAGGTAGCTATGAAATCAATTTAGAATTAATCTTTCATTACGTACCAAACTTTTGTGCATAACACCGAATATTTCTTGTTGTGCCAAAATATATAGGTCATATACCAGGAGAATAATTGGCAAAAAGCGAATAAAATGACCATAATTGCATATATAATTATACTGGTAAAAAGAACTAACATTTTCCTTTTGGTGCTATGCAACCCTCATATCCAGCTTCCAGTAAATATGGTGTTGCATCATTTTTCAAACTGGTGAGATTTAATACACTAATCTAAAAAAGTTAATGTCAAGCAAACATAAGATTTGGTCCTGATATCAACAGCATCATATCTTGGTAACACTGACTAGCAATATTAGGAAAAAAAACGGCTCTTCAAAAGTGATAAATTAATTACATGTTCTTTTTCCGGGTCTGATAGAATAGAACGATCTGAGATTAGAATAACTCGATTCAATCGTGTTTGTAGCGAGATATTTATATGCTGCTGTGGCACGTATGATAAATTTGCGATTACGTAGTTACATCTGATTCGTTGATCTTGGGTCACTACCGCTACTATTCTGAAAGTCACTAGCATGAAAATCTTAAAACCAACGATTAATACATTGATATGCGTTTTTCTTCATAATTTAAATGAGAAAATTTGCCAAAAAATACTAAAATTCTATCAAAATTATCCAGAATTTTCGATAAAAATTACTATCTTACCTCCCATCAGCGATGACAAAACCATCAACCGAACGATTTAAGCAATAAATTCCACCAAAAACAGCACATAGTCGGGCGAAACACTGCGGTAGTTCCCCGCTACCATATAGTGTCCACAAAAATGGTGAATCACCAAAGCGTCCAACAGATTCCATAAATTGCCACACTGCTTCCAAACCTTATAGTTTTCGATAAGTTACAACCGATTACATTTCGACAAATTGAGTAATTTTGGCTATTTTGTCGTACGTTGAATAAAAATGAGGAACATAAAAAATGAGAAAAGTTGAAATCTTCGATTCAAAAGGAAAATTTGGCAATTCAAAAATCAATTACTAAAACTTTCAGAAAGCAGTCGATTTAGTTGGTAAAACTTGCATACCGATTTAGTTGGTTTGTTTTAAACATAAAATTTTGCAAACATAGGCAACTTATCTCTTTAGTTTTGGCTGATGGGTGTAATATTGCTAAAGTGTCAGCAAGTATATTTTTCGCACGACCCACGATGCCAAAAGATTCCACGAAAGCATCAAACGGTTTTTCGGCATATTCTCGAAAAAAAATGCAATTTCATTAATATCTAACATTTAAAACCTCATGATTTTTGATACTTTCATTAAAATATTAATTCTTTCTAAAAAAATATTTGAAAACAGTGGCGCCTTATTTTAAAGTCAGTATCGTAAAGTTTACAGATAAAAGCAAAGTAGATTCCATAAAAAATTTCGATGTCTTCATCATTTAATTCTTGTTGAAAATACTCGAAATTGCTTACCTTTCCAGCCGTCAGTTTCATCAGGATCTTTCCGCCATTCAATGCATTTCTGGAGAAATCTCATCACTCGCCGTTTATCTTGTACTCTGAATATAAATCTAATATATTCCCTTATTTTTCTTTACGATGAGGTGCATACCTTTTCTAAGTAAATACCCTCAAAACATATGCGACAAAACAGCGAATTTAGATGTCGTTTCTTAGTAATGGGAATACAACCGATGGATCTAGTTTTTAAGCAAGCGGTAACTATATATAGGCATATTAGCATACCAACGAGTGAAATGATCATAAGATTTAAAAATCATCTTCAAAAAATTTTTAAAATAAATAATGTGAAACGAACGAAATAACACCACTTCGAAATATTTCTCCGCGAGAACATGGAACAACTTCAAGTGAACTTGGACTTTTATCTGATGTACAGCATAGAAGTCGATCAACACACTTAAATTCGCAGTATTTGGCAACACCCGAATCACACAGCAGCTTTACCATATTACCTCTACTTAATAACACCTGAAATATGACAAACTCCTAAACAGTTATTGTTAAATTTAAAAGATAACTAAACATGTCGTTATACTTAAATTCAGAATTTTTGGGTCTGCTAATATAGTTGAAGAGAACAGCAATAATTGTTTCCAACTATGCAATTATATACGATATTCCACTAAGTTCATTTGTGAAAGAAAAGATCAAGTTTTCCATTCCATCCATTCCACTATTACTCACTTATGAACAAAGGCTGACGACGCAGTGACAAAAAAAACCTTAGGTAAAAGATCCAAACTGAATTTTCGCCATTGCGGATCGATATTCTGCAAACTTGAAACAATATCCAATTCCTGAGCATCATCAACATGACTGAAACTTGAAAACAGACAAACATACAAACATAGATAAATAAATAAATAAATAAATACAAACAAATATGCATCAAAATAAACAGATGAATAAACGAATAAATAAATAAATAAATAAACATGGTCAATGAAATAAAGTAGAATAAATAAACAGATTAACAAATAAATAAACAATAAATTCGATAAACTGAATGAAAGTAAATAGATAAATAAATTAATAAGTACATAAATAAATAATTAATTGAACAAATAAATGAATTAAATAAACATATTTATACGTTTGCTGCATTCCAAGTCAGACATGATGCAACGTATTTACTACTTCAACTTCCAAAGAGTAGTCAAACTTTTAACAAATAGAACCGAAGTCATTATGGAAGACTTACTCGTGGAAATAATGCTGATGAACATTCTCAATAAATGATCGACATGTAAGCGGTAAGAAATTTTCACCACTTAGCAGAAAAGATTCAGGGTTAATTTGAGCCACATTATGATTCCTGCTATCTCCAGTTATCCAATTCTGGATCGTTTGTATATTAAAGGAGGCCCACAAATCGCCATAATAATCGTTCCTTACATAAAAATGATAGTGTTACTTTTCATTTTGAGAACTTTTTGCTGCAACAAAATATCGAAAAGCAGAATCTTTTTTTCTTAATCGTCTTTTATATCTGACACATTTCCAAGCAACTTACCTGTCCAACTGCAAAACACTAAGGCCAGAACGAGCGCAAGCAGCCGCAATCATGCATTCTGGAAGTCCAGTGCCCAAAATAACCACATCAAACTCCTCAGGCAAGTTATCGCCCATTAGTGCATCATTTGCTTCTGAACTTCCTGTATCTATACATTTAGGTAAATTTCAATAGCTCAAACGAACATTAGACGGTATCTAGTAGCATTTACCGATGCAGTCCCCGCGAACCCAGCGGCCCACTTCGCCATGAGTTACATATCCCCGATGCCCAAATTTAAAATCTAAAAATTCTCAACCGTACCCCACTTTCAAATTGCTCACCAAGTGCTGTCCCACTAGTGAAGTCCAAGCAAAAGTTATGGTTAATCAGAGTTACTAGTTTTGATGCTGTCCAACCTCATCCTTCAGAAATTTTCCATTTTCAAATCAGAACAGTATCTTCTAAGACCATGTAGAAATTCTACCAGTTTTCAATCGAAGTAAATATTGTGGATATGTTTTATCTATAATTAATGAGTAAAACATGTATACATATAAAGCGTTTCTTTATGATCAAAATAACTACTTATAACGAAGCACCGAAATCTCCAACTAAAGAGTTAGTAGTCTGGAATGCAGCAATTTACCAAAATTCAAAAAACTCACGACAGATGATAATAAGCACAAAATTAACTTTAACAACTAAAACAAAAAGAAATATATATGCGCCAAACATAACAGTCTATTATTCACAGTTTAAAATGTAAAAAGAAAAGCAAAATATATTTCATCTTCATCTGCTAATAACATTATTAATAATGATATGGCTCATCAATATGCAATTTCAGTCGGCTAATAAAAGAGATGAAGTGATATCAAGATGCAGCTGTTATGTAAAGTATTATAAATGAAAAAGATTGCTATTACTTCTCCATTTAAACATTTGAGCATTATATCAACAAGTAAATGTAACTTACTCAAACAACAACCGGCTTCCAACAGAAACATAACAGTAAAGCATAATAGTAACACAGGAACTCACAATTTTGTTAACGCAATCATCTACAGGATTTTCCTCCACAATTATTGCAGTACACATTCAGTAAAAAGACAAAAGAAACAGCATAAATTTTCGAAGGCGTGTTTTTCTTAGAATAAAACAAGATAAATATTTTGAAAGACTAAGTGTAGAAAAACCAGGCCAAATGTTATTATATAAGCGATGTTTATTTCGAATTGTAAATCATGAACCACAAAACGTTCGTTTTTTGGGCTTTTCTATGTTTAATTTAATGTGGTTAAAGCCCGATCGTAGAAGAGCATATAAGCTTCTGATGATGCCACTTCTGCGAATGATACTGGCGTGACCTAAACAAATTTTAAATAAGGCATCCAATTTCAAAAACTGCATGAATGAAATAATGCCTTTCCATTATAAATTTTGCATAAATAGCTTTTGGGACATTTTGCCTCTTTTAATGGTCACCTCCATGTCGCTCGTTTTGTACCAAGTAGACCGATTATGAACACCAATTCCACGACGGTAAGTAATAAAATGACCCGAATGAGCTTGTCCAATATGTACAGAAATGGCACGCAGTTGATACTTGTATTTCAGTATACTATTATATTCGCAGAAATTCGTTCTACTGCTGAAAAACGTGAAAAATATAAAAGTGATATGCGTAACAAAGAACTGAGTAGAAATAGACTCACTTAACTGAAGATAGCGACATGGTTTGTTGCCACTGCTGTTCGACTTTCGGGATAGATGATGAAGCATTCAAAGCTGAGCCTCCCAAAACTCGAAAACATGGATTTGATAATGGATCTTCCGTTTGCTTTGACTTACTCTGAAATTAAAATAGATTAGTATTTTATTTCCTTTTGTTAAAAAGTCATAGTGAGTATAATCGAGATGAAAAGATCGTAAAAATCTATCGAATTAACAGAAGAATTCAGCAAATTTGGAAAAGCAGGAGGCGAAAGAACATACAGATGCTGCGTTAGGAACAACATAGCAGGTGCTGTGTAAGGGAAATAAATTTGTTTGTCTATTAAAATTATTAATAAACAAACTTGTTCGCTGAAGAAACAATATTCTCGAATATCAATAAATTCAGGAAGTAAAAAGCGTTCAGTACGTTTGAAAACGTGTCCATTGGGAGAAAATCCAACTCGCTCGATACGAAATATCAATAAAGATGGTAACTAAAGCAGTGCAATACTAAATTATACAAAAATTATCTTTCAACTGAAACCAGTAGCAAAAATGATAGTTGATATCAGAAAGTCTCGCACTGCCATATAATTCTGCGAGAAAATACTCATGTGTATTAATACAGTGGAGAGTGCATAAAATGTAGTAACCGCAAACAAATATTAAAATCACCTTACAAAATCCTTGTTTCTTCATTAATCCACCAGACGGATCTTTTTTCCTTTTTAAGCATCGATCGCACGATGCACCTTGAATATATTCAGCAGTAAAATATTTATCCAGCAACTTCGAAAATGTCAACACCTGAAAGAAATAATTTTTTCTATTCCTTAAGAAATAAGCTCTTTTCTTGATATGCAAAGTTATGAATAAAAACACATCTTCTTTTTTCTCACACTTTATATTTAATTCCATGCATCATAATAGGATAATTGTATGGAATCCTCTACAATAGAACATCAAAAATTCGATACCACTTCTTGCTTTTAAAAGCCATTGTTGAAATGAAATCTCAAAAAGTTAAATGGCAAGAAATAACGTGCAGTAAAATTGCAGATTCAAATTTTATGAAATAGAAGAAAGGATAAAAAATCTTCGCAAATTCAGTTTTGTTAATGAAAGAGCAAATGGATTTTATAACAAACAGATTAAGTCAAATATAATTCACGATTTACAATAAACGCATTACCGGATTAGAAGATTTCGGAAGCGAAAGCGATAAAACGCAAAATTTTTCTTCACGAATTTTCTGAAATAAAAGAAAAATGATTATGCTTCAAAAATCACGCATGAAATTTATCGATGCTAATAATATAGTGATACAAGTAAAACGATTCGGGAAAGGTAGTGAAAATGGAAAAACTTTCGGCATAAAGATTTTTTTGAAGCATTTTTTAGGAATATTTTAACATACTTTATAACGGCATTCTTCTTTGCAGCAACGCAGTTGAATAGCTAACAATCCCATACACGGCGGTTTTAATAGCTTCTCATCTGCCACAATACTCTAAAAAACACTTCACTGATTGAGAATCTAAAACAATGTGAAGGTATGAACACACGTGAAAGAAAAAATCAATGGGCAACCTAAATTCTCAAGCACTGAAGAGAATCTTAGAATCTCATAAATAACTTGGCAGTTAAGTATGCCATCTTGTTAGTATTTTTTCTTAAAGTGCCTCCCTGCCCCTATATTTATCAAGGGAAAAAAACAAAAACAAAAACAAACCTTCGCATGCTCAAATGATAGTGAGCTAAGCGCATGATGTAGGTCAGAAGGCGAGCTCAAATTAGCACTATTGAGAGAAACTTCTCCACGAATTTTCTCATTGCCTTCCATAAATATGGAATAACCAACATTTCGACGGACATTGTTGGTTAATGATTCATCATCACTGACCGATGCCCTTGAAGCTGTTTTATTTTCACGTTCCTACAACTTTACTTCTAGTATTAAAATTTCAATTTTGGCTATATAGTCCCTCCAGAGCATATTCGACGATAGATAATCTGTGGATGCTTTGAATCATATAGCGATTCTTTTTCATAACAATTGATGTTAAAGAAAACATTGCAATCCATAAACTAATAGGGATGTACAAGAAAAAAACGGAATTTCGGGATCACAATAAGAGCGATGAAATGTAAAACCAACGATTTCGATGACTTTCTGCAACAGTGATTCACGATTATGCCGTAGTTCTGCCAACTCTTCATCCCACGTTGTAACGAATACATTAAATAATTCATATAAATCCTATAAAGCATAAAATGTATTCCTTCTTAAAAGAAAGATTTTATAATTTTAAATTAGAACATTCCAAAGATTCCTTCCTGATAAACGGAAAGGAACAAACTATGTTAATTATTATAATCAAAAAGAATAAAAAAAAAACATTAACTGAATATTCAAGAAGATGAAATACCTGTTCCGTATTCGGTGGTATGGACCATCTGTGTGCCAGTAAAGTATCGATTACATCTGCGGCGGAACATATCTCTTTTGTGGCGTCATTTAATTCTGCAAATGAAGAATACTATATCTATAAGAATACTATATCTATAGTTGATAAGAAAGCATAATTTAAAATTTGAGAGTATGTAGTTCCACTTATAAATTATTTATCTTGCGATACTACATGCAATATTATTGTTATTATATTCGCTGCTAATATTTGTTAACAATAAAATTTAAGCAGACCAGAAAATAAGTTATAATTTCGAAATATTCTAAGGCCAGGACTTATTACACCACTTTAGCAACACTTACGAAAAACTGGAGATATGAAATGAGTGTGCATCCCATACGATTAATGGAGTTTTCCACATCTGAATTTGTTCTACTTTTATGCCATTACAAAATGCAAACCTCGGATAACTCGCTTTAAAGCATCCAAAAACATCAATTTGTGACCATCATAAGCAAGTCTAGTATCAATCGTTTGGACCCATTTTAAAAAAGCCCTTGAGCTACAATGAACCAAAATCCATTTTTTCCATTTAGACCAAGAAATAGAAAAAGCAGGGATAACTACCTCCGAATGATAAAACAAAAAAAAGAAAGTTTGATATCGCTTGATTTAATAAGCAAAGACAATTTTAATCAAGGATACCTGGCAAGTCCCTGCAACAATGAATTAGCAAAGCATGTGTTACCCAGATTAAACATTGCCGGAACGCTCTGTGCACTACCATCTAAAAAAATTCATATAATGCTTTCGTTTTTGATACATAACTGATCTAAAACTTGAATCTAAAACTGATTCTGTGAAAAATAAAAGGCAACAATATATCAATTTCTGTCAGTGGAGTAGGAAAGATGAACTATATGAACACAGAGGCAACACAATATCAATTACCAATGACTTGAATACGACTGGATCAGTAGAACTTACTAGCAAGTGGTCGAAATGCACTGCGAGACAATCTTTTGGAAGTTGAATGCAGATAAGTGATAGCACCAATTAAACTGCTCATTAACAATATACTGGTGAAAAGATAATGGGATATGCAGCTCCACGAACATTTCACCAATGGCCATTGCCATTTCCACAGGTTTTCCGGAAAGTAGCTCATCGACTGTGTCTAACTTAAATATGACAAAGCATTAAGGTTAAATATTAAAACTAACACCACGACCGCATAGTCGAACTGAAACAAAATTTCAATCCAAAACTTTTTTATGGCTAATCAAATTGTCATTTGCATGATTCATTCCAGCATTATTAGATGAATTTGAATTGAATTATTCAGAGAAAAGATACCATATAACAATACCTCAAGCTACTCAGCTCAATCCCGCCAGAAGTGGTCGTAACATACAAAAACCGTGGCAGCTTCTTCCACTACTCTTATGAACCAAATCTCGCTAAATTACTATATGGAGTTCCAATGAAAAGCTTTTCATTTCAACAAGTTTTCTTTAAAATTTTCTGTGTTCCACTGAATTCACTTTGTATTTACCTCATCCAATTTTCTTATATATACGTGATGATTTGGATTAAATATTTTTTAGAACAGTCCTTATACTTTTCATGTCAATAGTAGGTCAGTATGGTCAGTTAAAATTAATCGTACTAATCAAAACTTGAATAGACTGAATCAGATTAAATTAAACTTGGTACGAGCAAGGAGGTATATCATCATTTATACCGCATATTTATGGCAAACATCGACTAACAATTTTTGCAAAAATCAAACCAAAAATTTCAACAAAGTAGAGGATTCGTAGTGAAGAGGAATCAGTGATGGTTTATTCAAATCTGTTGGGAATGAATTTGCTGACACTTTAGTCATCTTTAAGATAAATATACGCTTTAGTAACAAAAGTTGAGACATATAAATGACCAACATGATAATGACCCCATCCCCGAAATTAATATCTTAAATTGCATTTCAACATACTATTATATATTCATAAAATTATTATGGCCATCAAGCACTTGTCTCACTGTAAATAAAATGATGTGAGATCAAATGAAGAATGCTGAATCGTTCCATTATCAAAACGCATACTTTGTTGTATATCAATCAGTATCGGTTTGTAACGTTCCCAATTACTGATCAAATATAGTAATTCTTCGGACATATCAATGTATTCTGTGTTAGGAATATCCCATTTATTTAGGATAAATAAAATTTTGCAAAATTCGTGAAATAATCTCACAAAAGTTTATAATCATTTTACTCTTTCGTTAGCGACAGTATGATAACCAAAAATTTCAAGAATCTACTGAATGTGATACGAGATCTCGATAAAGAAACTAGTCGAAAGAAACCATTGTTATTTCCACAGTTATATAATTAAAAATATCGGACATGTTTCTCAGATCCCGAAATGCTTTAAAAAGAAATTTAAACTGAAGTCTTAAGACAATGTGATTTCTACAAAAAATATGAAGAACGAGCAAATTAGATTAGCTTCAAAAAGAAACGGAAAATATAATATTTCAGAATGCAGTAGAGATATACTAGAGAATTGAATACGATTTTCACAATTGGAGAGGGCCATTGTAATTAACTGTTTGAGGCAGTATAAGAAAATAAACCAAAAGTTACAACACATTTTAGAGTAATAGCGAATGATAAATTATACATGATCGTAAAACTTTCTTTCTTATGCGCGTTCACCACGGATACGACGAGCCAGCTGAATGTCTTTTGGCATGATTGTAACACGCTTAGCATGAATTGCGCATAGATTGGTATCTTCGAAAAGACCAACCAGATAAGCTTCACTGGCCTCCTGAAATAACATAGTTGCTTGAGCACTAAAACGGTATTCTGTTCGTGTACAGATCAATTACGCCCTTTCAGGAAACAATCAAAAACATCATCTGAGGCTGGATGAAAAAATTTTGACAATTTGTAATGAAATAATTTACGAAGAAAAATCATATTATGCAGTTTATATTATGCAGTTCCAAACAAACAACATATTTATAATGGCCAAATATCGGTGTTTCAATATATCTCTCTGATTTCGAATTTTCTAAACTTTATGGCAGTAGATATATGTCTTGACTCTAGCTACTATTTTTCAAATTATACATGCTACCAACAATACCCATTATTTTTTTTAAATAAATGTAACTTGAAATTCAGTTTTGCTTGTCGCAACAAACCTAAAATATCAGGAATGATGGGAATTAAAAACCCATAGTAACTTACTTGCAAGGCGCCAATAGCAGCCGACTGGAAACGCAGATCTGTTTTAAAATCTTGGGCGATTTCACGAACTAAACGTTGAAATGGAAGTTTTCGGATTAGAAGCTCAGTGGATTTTTGGTAGCGACGAATTTCCCGAAGCGCGACAGTACCTGGACGGTAGCGATGAGGCTTCTTAACACCTCCAGTTGATGGGGCTGATTTACGCGCTGCTTTTGTAGCCAGTTGTTTACGAGGCGCTTTACCTATAAAGATTGGTTGTCGATGCACACTTCAACTACACTTCATGGATTTTAATTTTAAAAACAAAAATTTGCCAAATTTAAACAATTCCACGAATTAACTAAGTTCTTAATCACAATGCATCAAAATATAAAACCAAATATTTATGGAAACAGACTACTTGAACTTTCAAATTCAAAAAATTCAGTGAAACGGATAAAAATAGCTCACCTCCAGTGGATTTACGAGCAGTTTGTTTGGTACGGGCCATTGTGGACGGTAATTCGCAAAAATTCAGAAATCGAAAGCTGAACTAGCAACTGGTGGCTGAAAAAATGAATTCTACATAAACAGAAGAATATGCCACTCAAGTAGCGAGAAGAAATACATTACTTCGCTTAGGATTTTACGAAGAAGAAAGCAAAAAGTTCACTTTAATAGAGTCCTTAAAAGAAATTCTCTAAAATATTATTGCATACTAAAGAAATCAAATATAATTCTAAACACAACAAAACAATTACTAGAACGTTTCCCGATCAGTATATGGGATAAGTTTGCCAAGTCGATCTATTGGTCAAAAACAAAACAACCCACGCATTATAGTCATAACTTCAATATATCCACCAATACAGTACCCAACTAAGAACAGTTCATGAACAAGTGTAACAATGAAATCTTTTTGAGGACACAGATTTGAACAATAAACATTTACTTGTGTAACATATTCTCAACAGAGTATACTTTGTGTAGATTTACAAAAACCAAAACAAACTATAATAACGAATACTAGAAAGCATGCAACTTAATTCAAGCTTAATTATTCACATCATTTGAACTATTGCGGTCGACCTTTAATCAACCAATGTCCTCAAGTACCTGATAAGTTTAGGATTCTCAACCTCCGTTTACTCTTCTATCATGCACCAGAGATGCAAGAAGAGAGCCGACCGTTCCTTATTTTCAACCTATCACCTTCTAACAGTGAACTAGTCTAATTCGCTATTTCATGAATATTGCTCACTTCCTTTTCCCTCACTTCATTCATTTCAAGGAGAGAAAGCAGCCAAAGGATTAAAATGTACAATGTTTCCCGCTCACTCTTTAAAATTAAAAGTTAAATGAGAGAGAAGCATCACTCATTTTTTTTTTACAGCCACAAGTTTATATCCATAAGGACACTTTCGCAGTATATGCACTAACATACTCTCTCGCGTACTTCTCATCCTCGACAACGCATCTCCACTCTGTATCACTGTCTAATTCTCTCCATCCACTCACACTACTGCCGCTTCTCATTATTTGTATGACTAGCTACGTCGAAGTCCTTCAGAAGTTATTTCTTGGATACAAGTTGATTATACCTTTATACAAAAGTAAAATGACTGCGGAAGTAGAGGCTGGAAAGGCAATTACGACCAGCAAATATTTGGATCACAGTTAAAAACCAAATTTTGAAATAAAAATCATAGAATTTGGAAAAAAGTCAACAGCAATTCTTGCGGACAAATTTTGCATTTCTCATCGAAAGCGATCAAAAAGCGTAAAATTGTGCATTTTTAACAAATTTTAGTGGAAAAGATGTGAAATTTGCTTCGAAATTCCGAAAGGCAACTACCGACAACGACAGGGACCACCATACCAGACGGAAGAACCACAAAGACTGAAAAAGACACGGGACATGGCGAGTTGTAACTCGCGATGAAGAGGAAGAACGAACTTTGGCTGATACTCAGGACGGAAAATTGGTTGATACTCAGTGATGTATTGATCGCTTAGTCGTCGAACTAGTGGGGCGGATGACCGGAATAATAGAGAGGGTGACGCGGATTACCACTAGTGTCCCATTACATCTCATCTTGCCGCTATAGGGAAACAAGCCACTAACTGATGCTTCTTCCTCCGGACACCGCGGCACCGCGGGGGTTGAAATGGAACTAATAGTAAATAAACTTCTCCCAATCACTAGAGACCTGTCCTCTCTCCAACATTGTGATACCACGGAATTTGAAAAGTAATACCCGTCTATGTCTCACTACCTCTCACTGCTCGCAAGCAAATCATCTCTATCTCTCTCGTGTGTAACGTACCACGTGCGAACTATTGACAAACAGTGCACTTTCGCACTGCACACGTAGGTGTGAAGTGCGTTGCATGCTGTGCACTTCATCAAGCGTACCCACATACATCAATCACTATAACGTCATAAACAACTAAAACTGGTCTTTCTCCCTATTAATGATAAGTCGATTGAGGGGTAACACAATCATACAATCACACATGACATTTGCACTCATAACAACACGTTCGCCCGAAAGGAAGTACGTGTACATACACGTGTAACTATGGTACTGGCAGTGTGTAGGCAGTCATGCAGAGAGGAAAAGCTGTAAGTAGAGCACAAATTACACTGAAGAATCAGCAAATTGAAAATACCCTTAAATAGCTACTGTAGATCGAGTCCAGCACATTCCCCCTCCATCCTTCTTCTCACTCCCATCAAGCAGGACTCAACTGAAAAGTCCTCCATTACTCATACCATCCGGAAAGCCACGACCTCTCTGAACTATGTAATGCGTTAACACTACCCCATTAACACTACCTCTCGACCTTTGACCTCTAGAACTTCGGTTGTCTTCCACCTCACCTTTCACTCCGAGCTCCTAGCGCTGTCACGCCGTCTCATCTTCTCTCGTATTCACGAAATTTCTTAACAATCACTCTGACATCCTGTCACTCCTTTAAAATCATTCATTTTTTTATTGCTCCTCAGCATATAATATTACTCCGAATGTTTTGCATTCTTCTTGCAACATGCACTCAAGCAAAACAAATAATTGACTCGTTGTTGTGAATTATTGGAATTGTTCCGAATAATCCACATTTCTTGGTGAGTGGCGAAGCTTACCAGAAAATTTGGCACGAAGTATCGGCATAAACAGCCCGAGTGCACTGCACTTCTAACCGGGTGGTAACGTAAAAACTACGGAGAACATGTAAAAAAACATGCAAAGAAATAATTTAGAAGCAAGTGCCTGGACGTCAAATTTACTTTCTGGAATATCGCATCCAAGAGTTATGAAACTGAAAGTGAATCGCGGAAGCGACCTTCACGATTCATTCATACCTACTCTGCGGTCAAAAGAGTGCAAAAGAGGAGATGTCAAAGTTTGCGATACAAGAAGTGTTCTAGTTCAGCACGAACAACACGAAATACTGACATGATCAGGAATTCCTGAAATGTTCAGCATAGGGTTGCTCTTTTTTGCTTGGTTTTTGCAACTGATAACTTGGATACGATAATTCTGTTAGTATGGAGACTGTAAAAAACATCGAACGGGGTTAATTCGTGTATGTTTTCTGACACGTTCGGAGAAGAAATGTGTATGTTCGCAAGGAGTTTTTTACGAAAATCAATTTTAAGGTTTTGATGTTGAGGTTTCGCGATTTTCTGCAGAGCGGCTGGCCTGCAACATCGAGAAATTGATAAAATCATAAAGAATTATTTGGAATTACTTCACTGTCGATCCGAATTATGGTTTGTTTACTCCCGTTTTTACACATTTTGATTATTCCTCCTACATACTTCTGTTAAAGCCGATCTATACCACTTGCTTTTTTCAGTTAGTCCTTGTTATTGGTGATTTTCACATTCCACATCGAAGTCATAATATGCCAGCGAAATTCCGTAAATTATTGGTACCAAACAAAATGCAACATGTTTTATGTACCGGAAACTTGTGCACACGTGAAACGTTCGATTACCTTAAGTCCTTAGCGTCTGATGTACACGTAGTAAGTTTCAGACTTTAATAAATAGCTTTTTTAGAAGAATTTTAAAAGAATCTGTAGATAGTGAATTATTTTAACGCTTTTGAAATTTCTTTTTCGTTCTTTGGATTTACAGATTTTTTCTTTGTGTCTACTTACTTTTGATACTGGAAAAACCATGGTCGAAATTAAAAACGAAGTAATTTGTTAGTCAGATGATCATCTTCGGTGTGAAGTTGAATTATCAATAAGAGTCATGATGTTACACTGAATGTTTATTAGATGCAACACACGGATGAGAATCTAGAGATTCTTCATTCTAACCATGTTATTTCAGACTCGTGGCGATTTCGATGATGTTTTAACGAATTATCCAGATACTAAAGTTATTACAGTTGGGCAGTTCCGAATTGGTTTATGTCATGGTCATCAGATTGTACCCTGGGGCGACAAAAAGGTGAAAACTTACTTTCATTCCTTCTTCCCAGAGTGCGTAAAAAAGCGAAGGATCTTCGTCATATTCTGAAAGTGTAAATATTTCAGAGGTTAGAAATGTTAGCACGACAAATGGATGTGGATGTTTTGATAACCGGACATACACACGAATGTCAGACTTTCCAACATGAGGGACGATTTTACGTAAATCCTGGTTCTGCAACCGGAGCTTTCTCGCCCATACAGAGGTAGTCTAAATTCGATGTCCTTAATATTTTAATAAATTATGTATGAAACATAGTACCAAAGAAGTCTAAATAATATGACTTAAATGTATATTAGTTAGTCCTTGTCTTAGTCATCAAATTTAAATAAATTAATCATTTAGTGACGTCGTACCGTCATTTGCACTACTGGACGTACAAATAGGAACACTGATTACATATCTTTACCGATTGGTTGACGATCAAGTAAAAGTGGAACGTGTTCAATTTTCCAAGTCTACGACTGATTGAATAATTTATTTATGTCTTGCATAGTACAGTGACCGTTTCATATTTACGCTAATTTCTTATACAATTTTTGATGCTAAAAGCATGATGAACTACATTAATTAAACGAATATATGTGCTAATATTCATTACGGTTTTTTAATTTTCAGTAGTTTTTTTTCTTTTGGATCAAGTTTTATTTGCATCGGAAATTGAATTGAGTATTAACAGAGGAAGAAAGTGAGTAAAAGTAATCATTGTATAATTCTTGTTCTGTTTTTGTTGATGATTCGAGATTTCGAAAATAAGAAATAAGTGCACTCTTGGGTCTGTTCATATTGCCTCTAGTATTAGAAGTAATAAAAACCATCCTACTGAACTTAAGGCTGTTGGTACATATCTTCCTGTTACTGCCTCGCTTTCTGCTGGTTTTTATCGGAAAATATAGGGCATCCAAAAACTTCATATATACTAACTATGCAAAAAGAAATTGTAACATTTATAAACTTTGTTAATTCTATTAATATCGCTTACTAAAAAATCAGCACTTTTACCATCAATGAGAATAACTGCTTAAATACTCTCTTCTAGTGTATTTCTTCCATCTTCTACTGATTCGTAATGCATGATAGAGAAGTAATCGTAACTTTCACCATAATATGATAGGCTTACTGAAGTCAGCATTTCGAATTCGGTACTAGCACCTGAAAAAATGGAAGAGACAATTTGACTCCACGAAACTTTGTAAACTTTTCTAGAATTTTAAGTATTTATACATGTATATCGAAAATCATGTGAATTATGGGTTGGCAGATAGTTTTAGTTTTCACATATCCAATGTAACTGAGTTTCAAAACAGCTAAACATAAGATTCCTTGTTGCTGTAAGATATTCTCATAGGTCAGCAGAAGTATAAGATATTCCTTTTCTTCACTTTATTACAGAGAAGTTTTATAATGATAGCAATTTTCGCATTATATTCCACCTCAACCGCGCAATTGAGTTCGAAAACGGCTGACGATATTATAAATGCTTTATAGATGGTGGGAATTATTGTCTGTTGGCCGAAATCTCGAAAAACTTATTAGTTAAAAGAAGTCATGTACGAAAGTATGCAGAAAAAGTCCACGAAGATTGAAAGGATTAAAACAAAATTCATCAAAATGACGACATGATGACTTTGGTTTTTTGTTAATAATTGAAGAAATCCGAAGAAAATCAAAAAGCTTAGAAGGGGAGTAGAAATCAATTTTAATAACAATAATATAAACTTGCCAGATATTAGATTTTACCACAAAATATTAACGAAATAATTGCAATCATTGCGTTGGTGCTCATGCTCATGGATGAAACTGATCACATGCATCAGTTCATGAATTACCGTTGCATAATTCATCATCAAGTGATACTTGCTGGATCTCCATCAACATGAGCAAAATCAGCAAAACATCCATAATTCAGGAATTACATTTAGTTGCTATATATTAAGAATGTGGAAATATTAATGCTTTCTGATAGTTGATCAGTCGTGGAGTAAACAGGATGCAAGCGAATATTCATAAGGACCGGTATACCTCATAAAAGAGATGTTTACGATGTCAGCTTTCAAATTTCTCCATTATATATCTATCTCTCTATCTATATACATATATATATATGATACTATATTATCTACTTAGTCTTTTTTCTGCAAGCAAATTGTAAACGAATCGTTCATTTGTGAACTATCTAACTAGATAGCATTATTAACAAATGTAATTAGTTTACCTGTTCACACAAACCA